TTAGCAGTACAAAGCACGTTTCATTCATTGCGCTCTGCTTTCTTAGTGCTGTGTTTTAGCGCTTTTTATCTCATGTATTTATAGCGAAACGAATCCTGCTTTGTTTCATGTTAAATGTGTTTTATTTAAATACTAATGTTTAAGTAAAATGCAAACTGCTTCTATCCAGTATTTATTAAATGTGGATTTATTACCCTAAGAATACTGCCGGATACTGGTTGATTAGTATTTATTGATAATCCTGCAATATTATGGTTTAGTAGTATTTATTAGTATTTATTGATAATCCTGCAATATTATGGTTTAGTAGTATTTATTAGTATTTATTGATAATCCTGCAATATTATGGTTTAGTAGTATTTATTAGTAGTTATTAATAATATTGCAATATTATGGTTTAGTAGTATTTATTAGTAGTTATTGTTAATACTGCAATATTATGGTTTAGTAGTATTTATTGCAAATACTTCAGAAATAACGATTTGTTAATTTTATTATATGTATTATTAATGCTGGTTTATTAGTATTTATTATTTATATTGTTAATACTGATTTATTATTAGCTCGTTGGGTGACATTCTGTGAACTTTGCGAAAATAGTAGATAGCAGAGAACAACAACATAATAATAATATTATTTAATAGTAGTTACTATGTAACTATTATTATAAATATTATATCACTGAATGTAATCACTGGATCTAAAATAACTTGTAATCAATGGATCTAATATCTGGATGTGATCAATGGATCTAATAATAACTTGTAATCAATGGATCTAATATCTGGATGTGATCAATGGATCTAATAATAATTTATAATCGCTGGATCTAATCTCTGAATGTAATCACTGGATCTAATAATAACTTGTAATCACTGGATATAATCTTTGAACGTAATCACTGGATCTAAAATAACTTGTAATCGCTGGATCTAATCTCTGAATGTAATCACTGGATCTAATAATAACTTGTAATCACTGGATCTAATCTTTGAACGTAATCACTGGATCTAAAATAACTTGTAGTCGCTGGATCTAATCTCTGAATGTGATCACTGGATCTAATAATCATTGGATGTGATCACTGGATCTAATCACAACTTGTGATCACTGAATCTAATCTATGAATGTAATCAATGGATCTGATAATCATTGGATGTGATCAGTGGATCTAATCTCTGAATATAATAACAGATCTAATAATCATTGGATTTAATCACTGGATCTAATCTCTGAATATAATAACAGATCTAATAATCATTGGATTTAATCACTGGATCTAATCTCTGAATATAATAACAGATATAATAATCATTGGATTTAATCACTGGATCTAATCTCTGAATATAATAACAGATATAATAATCATTGGATTTAATCACTGGATCTAATCTCTGAATATAATAACGGATCTGATAATCATTGGATTTAATCACTGGATCTAATCTCTGAATATAATAACAGATATGATAATCATTGGATTTAATCACTGGATCTAATCTCTGAATATAATAACGGATCTAATAATAATTGGATGTAATCAGTGGATCTAATAATAATTGCATTTAATCACTCGATCTAATCTCTGAATGTAATCACTGGATATAATAATAATTGGATGTAATCACCGAATCTAAACTCTTGATGCAATCACTAGATTTAATAATCGTTGGATGTAATCACTGAATCTAACCACTGAATGTAATCACTGGATGTAAATGTTATCACTGGATGTAATAATCATTAGATGTTATGACAGGGTCAAATCATAGCATGTAATCATGGGATCTCATAACCACCTGATCTATTCATCGCATGTCATCACTGGATGTAATAACCGCTGGATGTCATCACTGGATCTAATAACCGCTGGACATCATCAATGAATCTATTAACCGCTGGATGTAATAAGCGCTGGATATCACTGGATGTAATAACCGCTGGGTATAATAATCACTGAATGTAATAACCGCTGGATATCATTGGATGTAGTAAGCACTGGGTGTAATAAGCTCTGGATATCACCGGCTGTAATAATCGCTGGATGTAACAACCGCTGGATATCACTGGGTGTAATAATCACTGGATGTAATAACCGTTGGGTGTAATAATCACTGGATGTAATAACCGCTGGATATCACTGGGTGTAATAATCACTGGATGTAATAACCGCTGGATATCACTGGATGTAATAACCGCTGGGTGTAATAATCGTTGAATGTAATAAACGCTGGGTGTAATAATCGCTGGATGAATGTTTCCTGACTGTATCCCCTGTAAGCTGTCACAGGATACAATGTTACAAATTCTCTCTGTGTGAAGTTATGAGGCGATATCACGCTAGCCTGAAGAAATTGTTTAATTCCGAGATCTGGGTTAGTGAATAGGATTATGTCTGCGATAAAGCCGGTGAGACCCAGTGGTTACACTATAAGATAGTGTAGCTGTAATATGGTTATTTGTAAAAGGCCTCACTCCATTACGATTCACTAAACAGCAAATTCAGGATCACTTACACCACTCACTTAAATGGCAGAGCTGGCAGAACAGATGGTTTATTAATCCAACTTCATCTCGCAGTTTAGTGAATACAGAACCTACATCGCGCTAGCAGTATGAGAATTTCAAAGCGCTACACGATGCTACAAAAAACGGCTCTATTCACTAAACAGCGAACTGATAAAACGAATTGCTGTAATCAGAGTAGAATAGACCAGCTGGGTCTATAGAGCAGTTGGAGACTTTGTAATTTACATTTCGGGTAAATTCACTAAACACCGACAGCGGATATTCAGTAGAGGAAGACTTCAAGGTGAACTGAAACCATTCTCTGTGAGCTCTGATTCTCTGGGATTAAATATGAAATTCACTTTAAATTCACCTTGAATGGAAAAAAATGTCTGATTTTACAAATCTCAATCCCTCCCATATAATTCGGAGTTTAGTGAATAACACAATCAGGATTATTTACTAAAGTGAGGATTCAAAGTAAGTATAGTTTGGCTATCTGGCATTAGACATGTGAATAATCCTGTAAATGTGTCTATAATCTACAAATCGCTGCTCCTAGATCCATCGGTTTATAAAACATACAGCTTTTTATAAAGAAACCAATCTGCACCGGACTGACTGCAAACTGAAGGATAAACGGTAGATTTCGCTGGATGGTAAATCCTGTTCAGTTTTCCATGTGTAATCTCGCTGGTAATTGCTTTATAACGTGCTTTTTGAGGTTCTGTAAGGTATATCCTAGTAATGTAGCTCGGGGAAGCCTGGTGTATAAGGACAGGAATGATAACATGATATATAAAATGTTACATTGTATAAGGACAGAAATGATACAATATATAAAATGTTACAGTGTATAAGGATAGGCATGTACAATGTATAAAATGTTACAGTGTATACGGACAGGAATGATACAATGTATAAAATGTTACAGTGTATAAGGACAGAAATGATACAATATATAAAATGTTACAGTGTATAAGGGCAGGAATGATACAATGTATAAAATGTTACATTGTATAAGGACAAAAATGATACAATATAAAAATGTTACATTGTATAGGGACAGAAATGATACAATATATAAAATGTTACAGTGTATAAGGGCAGGAATGATACAATGTATAAAATGTTACATTGTATAAGGACAGAAATGATACAATATAAAAAAATGTTACATTGTATAAGGACAGAAATGATACAATATATAAAATGTTACAGTGTATAAGGGCAGGAATGATACAATGTATAAAATGTTACATTGTATAAGGGCAGAAATGATACAATATAAAAAATGTTACATTGTATAAGGACAGAAATGATACAATATATAAAATGTTACAGTGTATAAGGGCAGGAATGATACAATGTATAAAATGTTACATTGTATAAGGGCAGAAATGATACAATATAAAAAATGTTACATTGTATAAGGACAGAAATGATACAATATATAAAATGTTACAGTGTATAAGGGCAGGAATGATACAATGTATAAAATGTTACATTGTATAAGGGCAGAAATGATACAATATAAAAAATGTTACATTGTATAAGGACAGAAATGATACAATATATAAAATGTTACAGTGTATAAGGGCAGGAATGATACAATGTATAAAATGTTACATTGTATAAGGGCAGAAATGATACAATATAAAAATGTTACATTGTATAAGGACAGGAATGATACAATATATAAAATGTTAGTGTATAAGGGCAGGAATGATACAATGTATAAAATGTTACAGTGTATAAGGACAGAAATGATACAATATATAAAATGTTACAGTGTATAAGGACAGGAATGATACAATGTATAAAATGTTACAGTGTATAAGGGCAGGAATGATACACTGTATAAAATGTTACAGTGTATAAAGACATGAATGATACAATGTATAAAATGTTACAGTGTATAACGACAGGAATGATACAATGTATAAGATGTTACAGTGTATAAGGACATGCATGATACAATATATACAATGATACAATGTATTCAGACAGGATTAATACAATATATAAAGACAGGAATGCTATAATGTATTAAATGATACAATATATAAAGACAGGAATGATATACTGTATTAAATGATACAATATATAACAACAGGAATGATATAATGTATTAAATGATACAATATATAAAAACAGGAATGATATAATGTATTAAATGATACAATATATATATATATATATGTAAATAACAAACAGTAATAAACATAATAACGTTACAAAGATCAGTGCAGTCTTACAATCTGTACAATGACCTCACATAACAGAGCTTAAGACCTAATACACCCAGAATTCTGGTTTGGGAACAATGTATGATAACTTGGGGAGTCTTGTTCCCAATTCATACATGGACTCACCCCTCCCCACCCTTCGAGCATTGCCGGTGTTTACCTCTTACTGTCCCGGGTGAGAAGTGAGATCACGTGTTGCAACCCTTACTCCTGCCCTAATCCAGACTCTGCAGTCACTTCCAGGCAGGGATTAGTAGAGAGAGCAGCTGCCCTGGGTGCACTCCGCCTCCTCTCACCCTCCAGTGAGTGCCCCTTATCTGCAAATAACGCCGGTGAGATGTGCCTGGCCAGCTCTGATTTAGAGTCCGGGCCTTATCTATACTCCAATGTTTGATTTTCAACCAGCTCTAACCTCTCAGGATCCCCCCTAATATCCAGCTTTGTCCACTCAGGATCCCCCCTTATACACAGCTTTGAACACTCAGGATCCCCCCTGTTACCCAGCTATGTCCACGCAGGACCCCCCCTGTTACCCAGCTTTGTCCACTCAGGATCCCCCCCTTACACTCAGCTCGGTCCACCCAGGATCCCCCCGCCCTTATACTCAGCTCTGTCCACTCAGGATCCCCCCCATACTCCGTTCTATCCACTCAGTATGCCCCACCCCCCTTATACTCTGCTCTGTCCACTCAGGGTCATCCCCAGTCACCCAGCTCTGTCCACTCAGAATCCCACGTTACTCAGCTCTGTCCATGCAGAACGCCCAGCTCTGTCCCCATATAAGTAACACTCCACTCAATGGGACTTAGCCTGCAATATGCAGCGTTTTTCTGAGTCCCCAGGGACTCCTGCTACTGTCCCATATTAGAGCCTCCCCCGTTCATCCCCTCTTGCCCCTAGCTCGGATTCCTCATTAACCCTTCTTATTCCACACTTAGGGTCCTCGACAAGATCAGACCTAGACGGAACATCCCCCGTGTCAACACAGACTCCAGCCCAATATGCGTAAGACATCTCGACCTGTCCACTAACACCTGGACACCTGAACCTGATCAACTGATACCCGGACCTGTTCCTCTGATACCTGGAATTGATCCTCCCATACCTAGACATGCTACTACCTAGACCTGCTCCACATTTACACCTGGACCTGATCATCTGACACCTTGACCCGCTTTTCCCTGGGCCTACTCCATTGCTACCTGGATCGGCTCCTCCTTGGGCCTCTTCCTCTTATAACTGGATCTGCTCCTTTCTGGACCTGCTCCCCTCTGGACCTGATCCTCTGATACCTGGACCTGCTCCTTTCTAGACCTGATACCTGGACTTGCTCCTTTCTGGACCTGATCCACTGGTACCTGGACCTGATCCTCTTATACCTGGACCAGCTCCTCTGGAACACCTGGACACAAGCACTTTGACTTTTCCTTTAGGCACCGGAACCTAACCTGCATTTCTTGGATATAACCTGCACCTCTAGAACATAAGATCTATCGTCTACCTGCACAAGAGGGATTAAGCGGATCCCTAGACCAGAAGATGTACCAGAGTTTGGCCCTGACCCCCAGCCATGGCCAGGCGGCCTACCCCCACGACTCTGGCAATTTCCTGCACCCCACTTCCAGCTCCCCGGTCTATGTCCCCAGCAGCCGGGTACCAGCAATGCTGCAGTCTCTGCCCTACCTCCAGAGCTGTGACGGTGGGCACCAGGGGCACCACTTGGGCAATCACCCTGGGTGGGCACAGACTGCCAACGAGAGCCACGCTTTCAATGCCAGCAGTCCCCACACACCCCCAGGGTTCCCCTACTCTCACAATTCCCCTGGTGGGAACAGCACTGGGAGGGAAGGCACCTATCAAGGGCCCCTGATGCTAGGCGGAGGGGCCCGGGAACAGTTTGTCCGATCAGTAAATGGGTCCTACCCCAGCCCTTACTCCTATGTGAGCTCCGAGATGCCCCCTTCTTGGGCTGCCGGGCACTACGAAAGCACAATGCTGCACAGTCTGCAAGGCAGACCACCCCTACCGGGGAGAAGATCCAGCCTGGGTGAGTAACCATTTACTAACAGGTTGCAAACAGTGAATCTCCACTCCACAAAGCCCTAACTATCCTGAGTTTGTAACATTATCATCAGTAGTTAATAACTGCATCGCGAATCCTGACCTCTGATCGATATATGTATCTCTAATTTGCTCTTTATACAGTGTCACCATCAGACAGTGACAGTGGGAATAGTGACAGGTGACTGGATCTGGGTGACAAACCATATGGGCATCAATGATAAAAGCAATCAGTCAGGCAATGGATACATAATCAGAGAGATTAGACAGGTAAGTAGATACTACCTATCTACCTACATGTCTAATCTCTCTGATTATGTACAGCCAAGAGCTGTCTGCATGGGAGTACTAACGACGCAAAGCAAATCCAGATAGTGATTCCCGACACACATTGATAAGCTATTAGAATGAACACATGTAGGGTAATAACAATGTAACAACATTCTATCGGTTTACAGAGTAACAACATTCTATCAGTCTACAATATAACAACATTCTATCGATCTATAATGTAACAACATTCTATCAGTCTACAATGTAATAACATTCTATCGGTCTATAATGTAACAACATTCTATCAGTCTACAATCTAATAACATTCTATCGGTCTATAATGTAATAACATTCTATCGGTTTACAATGTAATAACATTCTATCAGTCTGCAATATAACAACATTCTATCGGTTTATAATGTAAAAACATTCTATCGGTTTACAGTGTAACAACATTCTATCAGTCTGCAATATAACAACATTCTATCGGTTTGTAATGTAAAAACATTCTATCGGTTTACAGTGTAACAACATTCTATCGGTCTATAATGTAATAACATTCTATCAGTTACAATATAACAATATTCTATCAGTCTACATCGGCCTCCGGCTGGAATACGGTGAGAAATGTGGCCGTAAATTCAGCCAAACTACAAACAGAGCTGACATTTATCCAGTATATTCAGATTTATCATGAAATAGAAGATTGCAATGTATTCCTGTTACGTTATCATAATGATAATATTAATATCACCCTGAGGATATTTGTCTCTTTATTATTATTCTGTATTTATTACCCGGTGAATATTATTCTGTTTATTATTATTATTATTATATTATTACTTGGTTGTTATTATTACCCTGTGGTCATTAAGATGAAGTTATTTATCATTATGATTATTATTATTATTATTATTACTACCACCCGGTTATTATTACCTTTTGGATTTTAAGATTAAGTTATTTATTATTATTCCCATGTAGATATGAGTTAATTTGTTATTCTTATTATTACTCCGTTATTATTACCAGGTGGGTATTAGTCTGTGTTGTTGTTTTTATTATTATTATTACTCTGTTACAATTACCAGGTAGATATTAGTTTGTTTAATATTATTATTATTACTCCGTTATTATTACTAGGTGGGTATTAGTCTGTGTTGTTTTTATTATTATTATTACTCTGTTACAGTTACCAGGTAGATATTAGTTTGTTTATTATTATTACTCCTTTATTATTACCAGGTGGGTATTAGTCTGTGTTGTTTTCTTCTTCTTCTTATAATAATTATTATTATTATTATTATTACTCTGTTACAATTACCAGGCAGATATTAGTTTGTTTAATATTATTATTATTACTCCGTTATCATTACTAGCTGGGTATTAGTCTGTGTTGTTTTTATTATTATTATTATTATTACTACTACTACTCTGTTACAATTACCAGGCAGATATTAGTCTGTTCATTATTATTACTCAGTTATAAGTACTCTGTTTATTATTATATTATCCTGTAGTTAGTAGTCTATTATTACATCATCATCATTATTATTATTATTACTACTACTCAGTTATTAGTCTGTTTATTATTATAGTAATATCCTGTGGATAGTAATATATTATTATTATTATTATTATTATTATTATTCAGTTATAATTACAATGTTTAGTTTGATTAATATCCTGTGGATAGTAATCTATTATTATTATTATTATTATTATTATTATTACTATTACTCAGTTATAAGTACCATGTGTGTTATTAATATCCTGTGGTTAGTAGTCTATTATTATTGTTACTCAGTTATAATTACTATGTTCATTATTATTAATATCATGTGGATAGTAATTTATTAGTATTATTATTATTACTATTACTCAGTTATAAGTACCCTGTTTGTTATTAATATCCTGTGGATAGTAGTCTATAATTATTATTATTACTGTTACTCAGTTATAAGTACCCTGTTTGTTATTAATATCCTGTGGATAGTAATCTATTATTATTATTATTCATCTATAAGTACTCTGTTTATTATTATATTACTATCCTGTGGATAGTAGTCTGTTATTATTATTATTATTATTATTATTATTATTATTACTCAGTTCTAAGGACTCGGTCTGTTTATTATTATATTATTACCCTGTGGATATTAAATTTAAGATGCTTAGCATATTGTTTCGATATAAATGCCCAATTGAAATCTAATTATTTCTGATATTTTTTTATTATCCACACTGTCCGGATAATGTAAGGTTGTACTCGTGTTTGTCACGTATGTGATAATAACTGGAAGAGATGAGAGTGGCCCCTGGGAATAGATCTAAACAGAAAATAGACATATCACAGTGGGTTACAATGTTTTCATCCTATGCATGGTGCGTTATACTGGGTAATGATACTTTGGATTAATTTGCCGTGGGAGCAGACTCGTTTGGTAGAGTACATAATATTCACTTAAATTCTCATTGGAGACAAATACATAACTCGCATTATTCCTATTGCTGATTTACTGAGTGAGGTTCGGTCAGGGGCTGGCTGGGCACAATGTGAGTGTTTTCATAGTAGCACAGCTGGCTTTATGGAGCATGTGGTTGGTACTGCAGCATATTATAAATATAAGCTTGTTCAGGTGAGTGGATATATAGTAATTAATAATATCAGAACTCGAGAAATACTGAAGTTGGGAGAGGTGGAGGTGTGTGTATGAATATATATATATCTTTCAAACAAGCCTTTTCCTGATATTAACTAAAATATACTTATTTTAGTTAATTTAAATGTACAGAATAAAAGCTGGTTTTAATATTATTTTTCTGTTTTACATAAGAGTACATCATACTATATGGTGACTGGTGGTGAATGTCACATGTCCAAGTAATCTTAAGACAGAAACCAAGCAATAATAAGATAAATAAAATAAATATGTTAAAGTATACTCTCCTGTATAAGAATACCAGTCAGTTTTATTTACTTAAATACTACTAAACCAAGCACAAAATGCAGAAAATAACATAACTTTATAGACATATATCATAATAATATAGTTACACATCAAGTGTCACACTTCATAAAGAGAATAGTTATATTTGTGTATTACACACAGTCTTGTAAATATATTGCAGCAATAATTTACACAGAGTGTTTGTGTATATATAATCACAAACACAATAAAATAAATACATATTTGTATGCAATGCCTGTATATATATATATATATATATATACTTGAAACCAAGAGGGCTGCACTCACCTGAACATGCATACATTATAGGGTGCTGCATATATATATATATATAGTTATCAGGAAAGAGCGCACCCCAGGTCTTGTAATACAAATCTTCAATCTTTATTTTTCAAATGCTTAACAGTGTCAACGTTTCAGTCCCATGCTGGACAGTTTTCAAGAGTGAAGCTCCACAGACAGACAGATAGATAGACAGATAGACAGACAGACTGAGAGAGAGAGAGAGAAAGAGATATATACACAGATTGATAGACAGACAGACTGAGAGAGAGATAGACAGATAGATTGATAGACAGACAGATAGAGAGCTAGATAGACAGACAGATAGTTATATAGATAGATAGACAAACTGATATATATATATAGATAGATAGATGAGATGGTATTAGCTGTAATAAATCACAGTATTGCAGAATGCAATGATACCTTTTTATTGGACCAATATATTTTAAAGACAAGCTTTGCATAGAATCCTCTGCTTTCTCAAGCAATACCAAGCGTTTAACAGTTAAAACAACTGATGGACTTACCCCTTCTCCATAATATCAGTTGTTTTAAGGGTTAAATGTTGTCACATTGATCGGTATTGAGGAAGCAGAGGATTCTATGGAAAGATTTAAAGTATTATGTTAGTCCAATAACAAGGTATCATTGCATTCTGCATCACTCTGGTTATACTGGCATTGTCTACAGAACTAACACAGCTAATCTACACACACAAATATATATATTAGTTACTAATGAGACACAATCTAATATGACGTGTGTGTGCGTGTGTACTGTAGAAAACACATTGTTCAGTATTTGTATATTTTAACATATATTATGAAGCATTGTAATACTCGGTGTATATATGTATAAATATGTTTTCACCCACTGTGTATATAACATCCTCTAACAAAAGACACTCCAACCAGTCCACCTAATGTACAGCGCTGCGGAATCTGTTGCCAATTTATAAATAATAATAACTCTATTACAGGATCTGCTCCTTATTAACAGGCAGGATTACCGCCCATGCATTTTCCCCTGTAATGACCGTTTGATAGTCACTGCGCAGTGCAGGGTCTGTATCTGTGCGATGGTGAGTTAATGGTAACTCCCACACATCTCAGGCAGATTGGGACATTTATGTCCTAGTGCTGCTTTGATATTAAAACTAATTGATACATAAGGTTGTGGTAGACTGTGAAAATGGCATTATTTCCCCATGATGCACGGTTCACTTTTACCTATCTATATATAAATACATATGTTCGTTATTCGTCCGTTTTATTTTCCAATGAATATCTTTAATGTAAAGTGTAACTGGCCAGCGCTGGGCCCCAGATCTCAGCTCAGTTTATGACAAACATGTCCCAGATTAGTTGGCGTTACATTACTGGGCATCAGTTTGCATATCCTGGCACTGCCCTAACATTAAAGGAAGCCCTGCCCTAACTGTAATACGTAAAAATAGAGATACATAAAGCTGGAGAATATATTGGGGAAAATAATGTCATTTTGGGGTTATGTAGACTCCATTGTCGGTCCTGTGGTTTATAATACAGATTCTAACTTGTGTACAATATACTCATGTGATAGATATATATGTGTAATGTATTCTGTGTTACAATGTAACCTTTTCCCATTTCTCAAGGACCGCCTGTATTCACAACATTCATAGGAACATCTGGTATTGAAATTATATAATTTTATTTTTCTGTTAAATTTATGGTTCACAAATGTATTATCGAATATATAATAGAGATGCAAAAGTGCGCCTTTACTTTGCAACACATTTTTGCCCGCCACTGTCAGTGTGGTGGGTTTTCCATGATAGGGAGGAACTTTCTCAATGGAGAGGTGTGGGTGCCACGTGCTCAAGGAAGGGTTAACATAGAAACATAGAATGTGACGGCAGATAAGAACCATTCGGCCCATCTAGTCTGCCCAATGACAGTTAACCTGTCTCTAGTGACTGTCACACTGGATTGTCAGCCAAAGAGGGGCAGCTGCATGCTGGAGACCAGAGTTGAGAGGGAGAAAAGGTAAGTAAACACACCTTTTAAACCCTTGTAGCAGGTCCCGGTTTGCCTAAATGGTGATTAGGGCACTTTAGCATTAGGAATACACATTTGATTTCCTTTTTTTTTTTTCATTAACAGTGTTGTCCCTCTAAATAAACAAAAAAAAAAAAAAAAAAGTTTTCTTGCAATTTAATGCTCTTAAATGTTCTTCTAATCCTCTCAATTCCTGGGATATAAAATCTGCAACCATGCTCTGCAGAGAGCATTAAATCCAACCAAATTCAATAAGCTAAATTGTGTCCCCTCTTCCATCATAATGATTCACAATCTTAGACCAGCAAATGATACGTGTATGTCTTTTTTGTTGTTGCAACAATCGTTTTCAATGACAGAAATATTTCAGTAGCCAAATATCTATTCTTTAATGATAACACTCCCAAATCTGAATGAAGTAAAGCTCTTGCAGGAGAGGGTATCAACTTTATGTTCGATTTATCTGAGATACATCCAAGTATTGCATATCTCTTTATAATACCACCAAACATGTAGATAAGACCCCATGTGCTCACCACCTCTCCAACACAATGCTGATAATGAGAACTTTCACATTTTTAACAGTACTAGGTACCACTTATGGATGACTTTAAAATGAGTTTCCTGTAAATTTAAACTATTTTTTATTTTCTTTAAGTCATGCTGTTCCTCCAATCTTCAATATTTATAGTAAAATTTAAATCTTTCTGCCATCATGATAGTACTTTTGGGACATCCCCTTGACTTAAATACATCATAATTCAATGAATTTAACTAAAGACTCCAACTTGATTTGATTATTGATAATGTTTTCTAACTGTGATCCGATGTCAGATTCCTTGGCCCTAAATAAATGAGATCTAATGTAATTTCTAATCCTCAATATAGAAAAATGTCAACTGGTTGAAAGACAAAGATCTACTGCCAGTATATTAAATGGTTTCGCTCTCCTATCAACATATCAGTGATTTTAATTTTATTTGTATCTAGCGGACAAATCAAGTTCAAATCTTGAATATTGTATTCAATATTTTTCTCTGAAGTGTTTTTAAGAAATTTATCTTTCATTGAAATTTTCTTTTAAAATAAAGTCCATACTGTAATAATATTTCTTAAATCTATGGACATTGTTCTCATTCCAGTTTCAGTAATCTCATTGTAGTTAAGCCATATTAAGTTCTCTAAATTCTTCATTTTAATATCTTTGTTTCTATGAGGAACCAGTTTTCTTGTCTACAGAGTTCATACTGAAATTTATGAGCTTGTACAATCATCGTTGCATTAGCATAGTTCTCTAACCTGGTCGTACCTTACCCACCTTGCTGAGTACTTCCAGATAACATTTTCCTGGAGACGCTTGATTTTTTTCTCAGTAAAATTACACATTTTTATTCCTAATGCTATAGTGTTCCTTTAATGTATAAAAATCATTCAAACTGCAATTGCATGTTACTTTCTAATAATATTAGTCTTTAGTCCTCTAACATTATGAATGTTCTCAATGGTAAAACTCATTGGGAAAAAAAAGAAGTGGAAATCAAAGAAAGGAATAAACGTATAACAAAGACTTTTTTTTAATGCAAAACAAAAATGGCAAAAAATAAAGAAATCACTATATTAAAGGTTGGTCACAGTTTTATATAAATAATATAGGGTATACATACAAACCCAGAGCGAGCATGAACAGCACCATGACACTTGTATATATAAGTAACACTTAAAGGGTGACTCCTACTAGAGCCCGCTGTACTGGTTATGGTGCCCTGTTTGCTAATAATGGGGAAAACCATTTTGCCAAGAGCCGAGCCTCCTGGCATCCCTGGTGACGGCTTCCAGCTTCTGCAGAGCCAATCCCTCTGGCTATTCATTGTGTGAGAGCGTCATGTGACCACTCTCAGCCATGGAATGCAATTCTGTGCATATAATTGACTTTAGCCTGCCCAGAGCTCTAGTTCCAGGCTGGTTAATGATGCCCCAATGACACTGCAGGAGGACCTATTATTCTTAGCTGAGCACAATGGATGGTTAGGTTGTTAAATTTGTCCATGTGACAGCTGTCTCTTTTTTCCTCAGGTATGTCTAGTTGTCTCTCTGCTGCCCACTAGCTGTCTATCCGTTTACCTATGTACACTGTGTGCCACAATAGCCCAAATGAGAAAAAAAGAAATCTCCAAATCAACTGTTTTCAGTTTAGCCGTTATAAGAGCTGTTATAAGAGTGTATGGAAGAGCTAACTCCCAGCTGTCTGATTGACAGCCACCAGAGTGCAACCTTGGAGATTTCTACGAGATTTCTCTGGATATCTGCACTTATATAAAGTAAGAGGGGAGGCTTGTTAAGAAATCTATAAGAAACACTTGTTCAGTAAAACAAATCAATTAACCAGTTAATTTCTGCTCGCCCCCCATGCCATTCCACTCGCTCTGTCCCCTCCCCATTGTCTGTACTCATTTCATTCAATTCCTTTCCCTGTGTTTATATGTGTTTAGTGTCAGCCTCCTCCCTGGATGGAGTGTAGTTTTATCCTTGGTGTACATTTACCTTCTTCCATTAGACTGTGCCATCACCAGCACCTTGCATGTCAAACGTCTTTTGTCACTATTACTTTTCTGGTGTCTTGTTTTCCCATTGCACAATGCTACAGATTATGTTTGAAGCCTTTAAAGGTTTAGTTTGAGAAAAGCACCGACTAAACGTTTTCTATGTGCTGGGAGAGACATTATTGCAGTGAGAGGGGATGTAAATCATCATGCTGGGCAATGAAACGGGAGGTAGCCCAAGGCTTTAACATAGATATTTGGTTCACTAGCCACTTGTAGCTTATCATTTAGCTTATTTAAATTCTGTCAAAGTGGATTTGTACATTTAAGGTTAATATCCAAATATGTACTCAAACTGCTTTAAAAAAAGAAAACAAAACAAAGAACATTTTTATTTAAAACACTGTGATTTCAGAGAAAAGGCCATGTCCCATAGACTGTAAGCTCGTATTAGCAGGGCCCTCTCCAACCTATCGTTGCTGTAAGTTTTCTTGTAATTGTCCTATTTTTAGTTACATTCCCCCTCACATAATATTGTAAAGCGCTACAGAATCTGTTGGCGCTATATAAATGACGATAATAATAATAATGTTAGAATCCCGTCCGATATCATAGGTCTTCCCATTCAGCATCTCCACACAGAGAATGGCCACGCCAAATGTGTTCAATGATGGGAACAGGGAAGCACTGGATTAAAGGTTCTCTATGCAAAGTATTTCATACTAGCGATTACGGCTAATGAGCCATATATCCCAGTGCTTCCACTGGATTAGACAGAGATTGACATAGCTGCTGATCCATTGGAGGAGGAGCAGCTGCATGGTGGAAATGGTTTCGCTGTTTTTTGTTTGTTTTTTCTGACTCTATAGTTTTAGTTTTTTTTTAAATTCTTTATTTTTGTTGTGCAGGTGGTTACAGGGTATCAACAGACGCCACAACAGCGTATTGCAGGATTTACAAAAGTTAGGCAGTGGCATGAAAATTCGCTAATTTTTCTATGTATTTTTATATCAAGCTTGACTAAACAGTTATATATTATCAAATTATTTATTTTGAGTATATTTTTTTGCAACCAATGAATTTTGTCTATACAATATCATTATGAATTATTAAATGAAGCAATGAACTTTATCTAAAGCAACTTTTTGAGTGCAGTATCATTTTTTGGTAGTAAACAGTTATATTGTCAGAGTAAAAGTAAATAAAATAAAACTATTAATGCTTAACAATGCTAGATTAGCTATGTTAGTGAAGTCATAATGTAATAACAGGCTTTTGTGTGTCAGGGTTGTGGTATGTGTTGAGCAGGTTTGTTACAGGCCGTGAAATATTATCCTGCTCGGCAGTCCCATGGTGCAGGTGTAAGCATGTTATATGAAATTAAGGTAGGTAGCGCCATTGGGACTGCACAGGGCTAATCTCTGGCAAAACACATACATATGTAGTTGCAAAAAACAATAGGGTGAATAGTGGGGTAGATAGCTAGTTACAGGCTAAACATGTTCAGTAAACTTAATTACATGCAGGTCTAGGTAATGCAAGATGAGATAAGTAGTTCACAGTTCAATAAGGACACATGCTGCGAGGTGAGTATCTGAGCCGTAGATTGCTGCCAGCGGTGACAATGTCCCGTGAGGTGCAAAATGTAGAGACTGGAGCCCTTTCAGACTATGCCCACCAGGTGTACAGAACTGTCCAGCATGGGGTTGACTTGCCCAAGGGCGGCACGCTCGCTTGGTGAGGTAATGATGGCTTTGCTTGCGCGGCAGGGCAGGTGCCCCCTTGGGGTCCCCCCCCCCCGGTTGGCTGTGGATGGGCTCCCTCCCAGTGTCGTCCGCCGGTCAACGACCCTGCTGCATCATGGTCAGTGTCGCGGCAGACTTTGTGAGTTCCTCTGTGCGGGGTTGCGCTTTGCGGGTTCTACTCTGGGATCGCTGAGTGGTAGGCAGGTTGGGTACGCTGGCGGGTTCTACTCTGAAGCATGGGAGCGTGAGTGCTGTTGTCTGAGGAACATGGTGCCGTTTCCGCCATACTGATCCTCGGCTTCATTTCTGGAGTCACGAGGGGGATTCCCCCGCAGTGCTGGCCCATTCTATTTCTTTGAAAGACAAGGGCATATTGCTAGTTTAGTAAATTCATCCATAAGTATTGCTTATAGTGAATTCCAAATAGAAGCAGCTTCCCTACATTTTGTTTCAGCACAATATAAAACCCACAGTTTGGAGTAACAGAGACATAAAACGATGCCGTTTTGCAGTATTTTGCAAGTTTAATGTCTTTTCAAATAAGCCTTTGGGAGATGCCATAAACTTGGAAAAAAGAGCATTGTCCAAAAGCAGTGTTGATTCTCCTAGTCCAATAACAACAAGCTGTTAAATCCTAGCTATACTGCATTATATATTGTGTAGTACACATACAGGCAAACACACAGAGCCAGAGAAACACTAATTTACACACTGTCAGTCACAATATACACACTGCCAGTCACACTATACACACTTATTTACACACTGCCAGTCACACTATACACACTAATTTACACACTGTCACTCACACTATACACACTATCAGTCACACTATACACACTTATTTACACACTGTCAGTCACACTATACACACTGCCAGTCACACTATACACACTAATTTGCACACTGTCAGTCACAATATACACACTAATTTACACACTGTCAGTTACACTATATACACTATCAGTCACACTATACACACTAATTTACACACTGTCAGTCACACTATGCACTAATTTACACACTGTCAGTCACACTATACACACTGCCAGTCACACTATACACACTGCCAGTCACACTATACACACTAATTTGCACACTGTCAGTCACAATATACACACTAATTTACACACTGTCAGTTACACTATATACACTATCAGTCACACTATACACACTAATTTACACACTGTCAGTCACACTATGCACTAATTTACACACTGTCAGTCACACTATACACACTGCCAGTCACACTATACACACTGCCAGTCACACTATACACACTAATTTGCACACTGTCAGTCACAATATACACACTAATTTACACACTGTCAGTTACACTATATACACTATCAGTCACACTATACACACTAATTTACACACTGTCAGTCACACTATGCACTAATTTACACACTGTCAGTCACACTATACACACTGTCAGTCACACTATACACACTAATTTGCACACTGTCAGTCACACTATACACACTAATTTGCACACTGTCAGTCACACTATACACACTGTCAGTCACACTATACACACTAATTTGCACACTGTCAGTCACACTATACACACTAATTTGCACACTGTCAGTCACACTATACACACTAATTTACACACTGTCAGTCACACTATACACACTGTCAGTCACACTATACACACTAATTTGCACACTGTCAGTCACACTATACACACTGTCAGTCACACTATACACACTAATTTGCACACTGTCAGTCACACTATACACACTAATTTGCACACTGTCAGTCACACTATACACACTAATTTACACACTGTCAGTCACACTATACACACTGTCAGTCACACTATACACACTAATTTACACACTGTCAGTCAGTCAGTGTAAGGTGGATTTCACATTTTAGACAGTAGCTAAATTAGAAAACTCTCCGTCCTTCCATGCTTTTGGTTCATCTCTTTCGGCCTAATATCTGAAATGTGAAATCTCACTTTAGAGAATAACTATGTATAACTATACACTGTATATTCCACACATGAAACGGAGGGTGCACACTCTGATTCTAGGACTGACTGTAGGAGCTGCCTCCTCCCCCTCCTTTCTCCTAAGGGTCTGTCATTTGTCAGTTGTGGAGCACAGGGTGATAGATTTGTATTTTAGGAGCTGTCCAAATTTCTGTGTCCGAGCTGTGAGCCAGCAGCATTCCATCAGGACTCCATCAGACCCCCGCCTGCCTGTCGCCAGCAGTCAGCATGGAAAGTTTCCAATCTTCCCCCTCCAACCTTTTCATCCTACAAAAACACTGGCTAATCATTTATAGTCCAGCTCTGCAAGGATGTATGGGAAAACACAACATGGAAGGGGTTAATGCCATGCCTAGAGAGATGGGGAAGACTCATTGTGTAAGGAAGTGGTTGACCACTCCACTTAGTGTAGTTAATATCCCACTGAGTGTTTACAAATACTACATTGAGAGACTCCGTCAATATCTATTATCAATTCTTCCCTATTCCAAATTCACTATAGAGTCCCATTGCACTGATGGTAAGTTGTATACAGGGCCGGTGCAAGGATTTTTGGCTACACAGGCAAATATGCATTTTGCTGTCCCCCTCTCTCTCCCCACTGTCCCCCCCCAAAAAAAATGTATCTTCACCTGTGTGCCTCGTAACCCCTCTTTTACATTTCTTACCCCCTTTAGTGTTACATATCCCCTTTTGCATGAGTTATCCCTATGTGTGCTACACCCCCTTTAGTGTATTCTATCCCCCCACCCCCGTGTCTCTTACTTGCCCACCAGCCCCTTTAGTGTGTCACTGTGCTTTAGTGTGTGGGATAGGGACTTTATTATTATTATAATATATATGCAAATTCTGTAGCACTGTACAGTAGGGCTTTAGTGCTGTGTGTGTGGGGGACTAGGGTTTTAGTCAAGGGGAGATAGGAGTAGTATTGGGGAATAGGGGCAGTATTGTGGGGGGATAGGGACTTTAGCGAGGGGGGAATAGGGGCAGTATTGTGAGGGATTGGGTCCTTATTGTGATGGGGCAGGGGCCGTATTATCACAGATTGATTCTTTAGTATGGGGACAGGACATATTGTGGTGGATTGCTTCTTTAGTCTGGGGGGGAAAGGAGCAGTATTATAGGTGATTGGGGCATTAGTGGTAGGGCTGGGAACAGTATTATGGGAATGGGGCTTTAGTGTGGTGGGATATGGACAGTATTGTGTGGGACAGGGGTATTAGTGAGGGGATAAGAACAGTTGTTGGGGATTGAGTCTATGGTAGGGGGGGGTAGGAACAGTATTGTGAGATCAGGGGCTATGGTGGAGGGATTGGAACAGTATTGTGGGGTTTGGAGCTTTAGTGGGGGGGGGCAGGGGCAGTATTGTGGGGGACTCGGGCTATGTTGGGGGGTTAGGAACAGTATGTGGGGGTAGGTGCAGTATTGTGGGAGGTAGAGCAGCATTATGTGGGACTGGGGCTATGGTGGGGGGATTGGAACAGTTTTGAGGGACAGGGGCAATGGTGGGAGAGGGAATGGGGGACAGCATTGTGGGGTACTGGGTGGATAGAAACAGTATGGGGGTAGGGCAGCATTATGGGGGACTGGGGCTATTGTGGGAGTAAGGGAACATGGGCAGTATTGTAAGGTACACACACACACACATCCACCAGGAGTAGATCCACAGCCTCATGTCCAGTGGGCTGCCGCAGTGCTCCTCTGAGTGAATGCCGATCCAGATCCGCATATGACGTCACATTCCAGCTTCCAGGACCTCTACAGGGCGCACGAGGGGGCTATACAGGAAATGCAGATCTGGATCAAAGCTCCCTCACCCGCCCTCTCCTCCTGCGTAGGTACTGGTGCTCCGCCACGCTACAGTGCCGCCTTACGGTAGCGCCAGCCCTGGCTGTATATCACTTCTACAAATGAGTCTGCCAATGTAAAGAGAGCTTCACGTAACACAATACTGATACTGTACATACAGAGACCCAGATCACCACAATAACTACACCCAGCATGTTGCCAAAACTCACAGTGAAAGGGGACCCTGTGTAAATTCTATCATTAAACATGATTAACCCTGCTTTGTCTGCCACAGATGTAAGATTAGAATTGACTGGTTTACTTGGGATCCACTGGTGACCTGCTACATTTTAACATCTGACTCCTATTTGTTATTACCATGATAATGGAGCCAATTGCTCTTAATGTGCTATGTTATTCAGAACAGGAGGAATACACACACAGCTGATTACAACAATATCGGCACCTTGGCCTGAAGATGTGTATCCGTCACATTATATAGCGAACAAAATGGCTGCTTTTTACAACATCATATGTGACCAGCTCCAGCACTCAGAAATAACCGTTTAGCACATAAGCATTTTTTTCCTTGCATTACAAAGTGAACTTGACAATAATACAACTATGACATATAAAATGTTTTCAGGGATAACGACTAAAACTAGACAGAGGGATATTTCCTGACAAACACGTATACAAACCTGGCAACATCAATATAAGATCCACAGCAAATCTGGGGGGTACAGCCTTTCATCACAAACCCAGCGCCCCTCAGGAAACATGCATTAAATCATAGAGATTTCTTTAGGTACAAATATTCACTTTCACTGGAAAGACTGCTAGCAGAATTTTGTTATATTCAAAATATGCACTTTCTCACAAAAACATCAATTATATATTTAGTCTTTCGACTGAAATTTTTGCATTTTCTTGTTGAAATGCAATTGATTTAAAGGGACACTATAGTCACCTTAACAACTTTAGCCTAATGAAGCAGTTTTGGTGTATAGAACATGCCCCTGCAGCCTCACTGCTCAATCCTCTGCCATTTAGGAGTTAAATCCCTTTGTTTATGAACCCTAGTCACACCTCCCTGCATGTGACTTGCACAGCCTTCCATAAACACTTCCTGTAAAGAGAGCCCTATTTAGGCTCTCTTTATTGCAAGTTCTGTTTAATTAAGATTTTCTTATCCCCTGCTATGTTAATAGCTTGCTAGACCCTGCAAGAGCCTCCTGTATGTGATTAAAGTTCAATTTAGAGATTGAGATACAATTATTTAAGGTAAATTACATCTGTTTGAAAGTGAAACCAGCTTTTTTTCATGCAGGCTCTGTCAATCATAGCCAGGAGAGGTGTGGCTAGGGCTGCATAAACAGAAACAAAGTGATTTAACTCCTAAATGACAGTGAATTGAGCAGGGGAATGATCTATACACTAAAACTGCTTTATTTAGCTAAAGTAATTTAGGTGACTATAGTGTTCCTTTACAAAATCCCTCTTCACATATTCTTTCTGTGTGTCAAGCGTGTTTTGTTAGAATTGTTTGTTTGGCTATTGTGCAGCGCTACGGAATATGTTGGCTCTGTATACACCATCATATTTGTGGTACCTTACCCCAATCACCCCACACACACACACACCAGATTTACATGTGAAGTATAGATTCCCCTGCTTCCTATAACCATGCTTGGTACGAGTGGTGGCTCTAGACTTTGTGAGGCCTTAGCTGAGAGATGGTGGGGGGGGGGAGGTTAGTGGGGGCCGTGAGAAGGTAGGGAGGGCTGAGAGAGGCTGGTGGGGGCTGAGAGAGAGTGGTGGGGGCTGAGAAAGGGTAGGAGGGATGAGAGATGGTGGGGGCTGAGCGAGGTTAGGGGTGCTAAGAGAGAGTAGGGGGGCTAAGAGAGGGTAGGTGGGATGAGAGAGGGTTGTGGGGGCTGAGAGAGGGTGGATGTGGGGGTGACAGTTTGTGGGGGGGCTAATAAATACCTTTTTTTCCTTTAACTATTCCCTGGTGGTTCAGTGTCTCTGTCCCTGGTGGTCCGGTGGGCAGGTTCTCATACTTTTGGAGATTGCAAGACTTACCATGTGGTCTGCAGCTCCGCCGGGCACAGAGCTGCAGACCACATGGTAAGTCTTGCGATCTCCAAAAGTATGAGAGCGCTGCCATGATAACCCGCAGAAACGTTCTGATACACTGGAGATTGGGAGACAGTTTAGTCTGCAGCTCTGTGCCCGTTGGAGCTGCAGACTGACTATAGTGCTAGGCGGCTTTCAATCAGCGCAGACTGACTGGAGGGGCCTCACACCCGGCAGCATAAAGGGCAAGCCACCTGGCCCCCTTCTGTGTTGGGTCTTCGGTCAGGGACCGAAGACCCGACATGTCACTCTGCACTAAGGTGATTTAGGCGGCCGCGAGGCCCCGATCAGCGCAAGGCCTTAGGCGGCCGCCTAAATCACCTACTTAGAGAGCCGCCTCTGCTTGGTACATCTTCCCACATAAGAGCTAGCGGAAAATCCCCACAAAACATTGTAACTCTTGGGGGGTTCACTGTATTTATCACGACAATTTGTGAAAATATCTAGCCTTCCACATTTTGAAAGATTTTACCTTCGATGTGAGTAGAGCTATTTCCCGAGTCCACCATCAGGCAGACTTTAACTCACTAAAACTAAAGAGGTATAGAAATAAGTAACTGCACATAATATGTCTGGACCCTATCTTTCCTGTATGGATTGAAAAGAGTTAAAAACAAGTTGTGCACTAATCTCAAAAGTTTTATTTTCTTACTATGACCTCAAAATAATAAGCTTTCCTAATGATTCAAGACTGTTAGAAAACATCCCACGTGATTTGTCAACGCAAGTCACCATTAAATTCTATGGGGAGTTTTGTAGTTAAATCACTTGGAAAGATTTCTAACAGTACTGAATCACAGTGGAGGCTCATGCAGGAGTACCTGGGGCAAAAATGTACTTGTAGTAGTTTAGAAACACTAAGATTCTTTTTTTTTTCTGGGAATGGAGGTGTTAAGCCCAAAAATATGGGAAAATAAGTATTTCTTTAATTATGTAATAGGTTTTAGTTCAGCCTAAATTGGTAGCTGTTTGGAGGAGCTTACTTGGAACACCTAGGCATGTCAAAAAGTGGGGCTGGTTTGAAATCTGCCCTGTTTCAGCAGGTTTTGCACATGCCTACAGTCCTTTAAGAAGGAATTTCCATTAAGTTACCATGTGGGCAACAGAGGCAGCTGCCCATGAGTGGAGGCATGCTACTGGCTTGTGTATTCAGGGGCCATCATTAGCTGATAACATCAGGGGGTAGGGTTACAGTGCCCAAAGGGGAGAGAAGCAATAAGCCATCTTGGAAGTAACACACAGAGCAGCAGCAGATCAGGGCCCCCTGCCAAATGTAAGTGTATAACATTATCTTTTTCTCTTCCCCAATACCCCAGTGATTGCCTGAGTGTGGCTTAAGCAAGGATTTTACTCAAATATATATATATATAAAGCCAGGGAAGAACAGGGAGGCCAAGAGAAAGGAGGAAATAGCAGAAATTTCTGACATGGAGCACTGTGCTAAAAACAAAACACAAAGATACCTGGGGCCGGGCTGACAGCCCTAACCATCAGACTCCTGTAATTTAAATATTTTCCCCTCAGGCTGTGTCAGTCCGAGGGGAGTAATGAGGAAGGAGCTGGGGGCTAGTGCGGCCGCAATTAGGCTGCTGGCCGCCGGAAAGGAGACCTGTCAGTCTCCCTTCAAAATTGACATCAATTTTGGTGGCATTCCCCGCCCTGCATGCAAGCCCCACCTCTTGGCGGTAGCTCTGCTTCCCCACGCTAGTGACCTCGCTGGAAACAAGTGGCCACAAAATGGTAACTTACCTGCCAGTGTCAGGTAAGCTTCAGCCATGACAGTGATTGTGTGTGTGTCTGCTAGTGAGTGAGCATGTGTGTGTGAGTGCCTGCTAGTGAGTGAGCATGTGTGTGTGTGTGTGCCTGCTAGTGAGTGAGCTTGTGTGTGTGTGCCTGCTAGTGAGTGAATGTGTGTATGTGTGTGCCTGCTAGTGAGTGAGTGAGCTTGTGTATGTGTGTGCCTGCTAGTGAGTGAACTTGTGTGTGTGTGTGTGTGTGTGTGTGTGTACCTGCTAGTGAGTAAACTTGTCTGTGTGTGTGTGTGTCTGCTAGTGAGAGTGAGCTTGTGTGTGTGTCTGCTTAGTGGAGTGAGCTTGTGTGTGCCTGCTAGTCAATGAGCTTGTGTGTGTGTGTGTGTCTGCTAGTGAGTGTAGGCTTGTGTGTGTGTGTGTGTGTGTGTGTGCCTGCTAAGTGAGTGAGCTTGTGTGTGTGTGCCTGTTAGTGAATGAGCTTGTGTGTGTGTGTGTGTGTGTGCACGCCTGCTAGTGAGTGAGCTTGTGTGTGTGCACCTGATAGTGAGTGAGCTTGTGAGTCTGTGCGCCTGCTAGTGTGTGTGCACCTGCTAGTGAGTGAGCGTGTGTGTGCCTGCTAGTGTGTGAGCTTGTGTGTGTGTGTGTGTGCCTGATAGTGAGTGAGCTTGTGTGTGTGTGCCTGATAGTGAGTAAGCTTGTGTGTGTGTGTGCCTGATAGTGAGTGAGCTTGTGTGTGTGTGTGTGTGTGTGGCTGCTAGTGAGTGAGCTTGTATGTGTGTGTCAGTGAGCTTGTCTGTAGTGAGCATGTGTGTCAGTGAATGTGTCTGTAGTGAGCATTTGTGTGTTAGTGAGCTTGTCTGCAGTGAGCTTGTATGTGTCAGAGAGCTTGTCTGTAGGAATCATATGTGTATCAGTGAGCATATGTGTGTGAACTTGTATGTAGTGAGCATGTTTGTGTGTGTGTGTGTGTGTGACAGTGAGCTTGTCTGTAGTAAGCTTGTGCATGTCAGTTTGTCTGTACTACGGTTGTGTGTATACCAATAAGCTTGTCTGGGTGTGTCAGTGAGATTGTCTGTCAGTGAGCCTCTTTGTGTGCATCTGTGAGCTTGTGTTTTTTTGTCAATGAGCTTATGTATGTCAGTGAGATTGTTTGTCTATCAGGCTGTGTACCAATGAGCTTGTGTGTCAGTGAGATGGTCTGTGTCTTCATGTGAGTATGCTTACTGTATAATTAAATGTTTTACTCTGAAAGGACCAATATTTTATATGAGAAAAAGAAATATAAAATATTGGTCCTTTCAGAATAAAACATTTAATATATATAAGTGTAAAACATTTAATATATATAATATGTAAGGCTATATATATAGCTTTACATATTACATGTGACAATACATGGCGCAATGACCTATGGTGCTGGCATAGATTTTTTTTCCAGGGCTGCTTTGTATCCCCAGTCCACCCTGAAGATATACCTAAACCATAGAAACACAAAGAAATATCTCAAAGAGTAATAAAGTAAAAACTACTGCAAGATCCCAATTTTCAAGGTTACACTCACAGGATTTCAAGTAAAATCCGGCACATCACATAAAATGATAAATGTAGACAGGAGCACTGCTGCCTGTCACTAATAGTTTTCATAACTCCTTCTGCACATACCCACCATCTTAGTTAAAGTGCTCAATCACTATACAGCCGATACCCGAGATATGCATGCTTGTGGCTAGTTGAAAAGTTGTGAAGCTTCAAACTGCAGGACTGGGGCTGTGACTCTGAGGACTGATCTGATACTGATTTCAATCTGTTTCAATATGTAATGATTACTGATTCTTTTAACCATGTCAGCTACTTCTTGGCTCCATATTACCACTGCCAGCTGCAACGGTAATAAAGAGTCTATCAGTATCCTACTGCTATAACCCTGTGCACACTGTGTGCTCAGAGCTAATTAAATTGCTGGCATGTTCCATAACAGCAGCAATATTTAATAAAATGCTAATGTAATCACAGCAGGACCGCTACTGAAGAAGAGAACATGAGAGGGAGAGCTAAGAGTCGGCTAGGAAGCTAGAGCAAGATAGTTGGAGCATTATACAGGGTTCTCTCTTTATTGCAGCTCTGTGTAATCTATCACAGTGACCCTGGCTGGGATGAGTATCTCCTTATTGTGCACAGCTCTGTGTGTGATTTCTCTGTATTTCAGCTCTACCTGTTGTATGGGTATCTTTGTAGTCTGTACACAAGCTCTGTGTATTGTATAGATATCTCTGTATTATGCCCAGCTCTGTTTATGTTGTGGTTATCTCTGCATTGTACTCAGCTCTACATAATTTATATATACCTATAATGCCCAGCTTGTTCTATAGTATGAGCATCTCCACAGGCGTGCGCAGCCTATTGCTTTAGGGTGCACACCATAGAGCACAAACACGCTGTGTGTATATGTATGTATATATATGAATATATATATATATACACACACACACATACATACACTGCTGTGTGTGTGTGAAGGTGCTGGTAGTGTGCTGTGTGGGTGTTTGTGTGTGTGTGTTTTTCTGTGTGAGGGTGCTGTTTGTGAGGGTGCTGGTAGTGTGCTCTGTGTGTATGAGGGTGTTTGTGTGTGTGTGTGTGTGTGTGTGTTAGGGTCCTGTTAGTGTGCTGTGTGAGGGTGCTGTGTATGTGAAGGTGCTGTTTGTGTGATGTGTGTGTGTGTGAGGGTGCTGTTTGTGTCCTGTGTGTGAGTGTGATGTTTGTGTGTGAGTGTGCTGTGTGTGTGAGGGTGCTGTTCATGTGCTGTGTGTGAGGGTGCTGTGTGTTTGTAAGGATGATGTGTGTGTGAGGGTGCTGTGTGTGTGTGGGTGCTGTTTGTGTGCTGTGTGTGTGAGGGTGCTGTTTGTGTGCTGTGTGTGTGAGGGTGCTGTATGTGTGTGTGTGTGTGCTGTATGCTTGGATGGATTGTGGGGGTGGAGGTGGGGGCAGATTAGTAAATATCCCCCCTCCCTTCTTACCTTATGTAGGGAGGGGGGATCCTTGCTGCCATGTGCCATCCCTGGTGGTCCAGTGGAGAGTGAACTCTAGCCTGCGGGGCTAGAGTTCACTCTCGCGAGATCTGAGCGTCAACACTCAGATCTCACAAGAGGAATCCAGCAGAGCTACTGGCTAGAGCTCCCCGGGTCCTCTCCTGCCTCCCTCCATGCTGCTGTGGGCCGGTGAGGTAGATCTTTGATCTCCCCACCGGCCGATGGAGACTTAGAGTAGATAGTGCCGGCTCTGCATGAGCCGAAAGGGGAGATCCTGAGATCTCCCCTGCCGGTCTCAATCCATAGGCGTGATTTCTAGACAACTGGGTCAGAGCATCTCTAAAACGGCAAGTCTTGTGGGGTGTTACAGGTATGCAGTGGTTGGTACCTAACAACCACTGCATACAACCAGTGCAGACAACCAGTGAACCAGCCTTGGGGTCATGTATGCCTAAGGTTCATTGATACACGTGGGGAATGAAGGCAGCTTGTCTTGTCCAATCACACAAAAGAGGTACTGTAGCTCAAATTGCTGAAAAACATAATGCTGGAAATGAAGTAAAGGTGTCACAACACACAGTGCATATCAGTTTCTGCGTATGGGGCTGTGTCCACCGCCGAAACCACCATCAATGGGGACATGACGTCAGAACTAGACCATGGAGCAATGGAAGAATGTTGACTGTTCTGACAAATCACATCTCTTTCAGATCAGGTGGGTGGTCAGGTGAGTGTGTGTTGTTTACCAGGGGAAGAGATAGACCAGGATGCACTATGGAAGAAGACAGGCCGGCGGAGGCAGTGTTATGTTCTAGGCAATATTGTTGTGCTGGAAACCTTGGGTTTTGGCATTCATGTGGATGTTACTTTGACACCTACCACCTACCTAGAGATTGCTGCAGTCCACGTACACCCCCTTCATGGCAATGGTGTTCCCTCATGGCAGTGACCTCTTTCATCAGGATAATGCACCCAGCCACACTACAACAATTGTTCAGGAATGGTTTGAGAAACATGGCAAAGAGTTCAAGGTGTTGCCTTGGCCTCAGAATTTCCCAAATCTCAATCTGATTGAGCATCTGTGGGATGTGCTGGAACAACAAATCTGATCCATGGAGGTCCCAACTCGCAAGACTTAAAGGATCTGCTGCCAATGTCTTGGTGCCAGATACCACAGGACACATTCAGAGGTCTTGTGAAGTCTGTGTCTCAACACATTAGAGTTATTTCAGCAGCACAAGGGGGACCTACATGATATTAGGCAGGTGGTTTTAATCAGTGTATATGCAAGGTCCGAGAGTAACGGAACCACAGTACTAAGGCAGTGAGCATATTGCGTATTGCCCTGGACTATATTGATTGAAAATGAGTTGGAGTGTGATATCAGACTGAAGTTATTTGTAAACGTTTACTTTTAACAATGATTGTTTAATGCAAGTGTGGTTAAGTGCAAGAATACATTTTGCTTATAGCAATTATTTAACCAAAAAATCATATTAATGCTCTGTAAGCAGTGCCCCTATTCAGAGCTGGCATTGACTCTCCCTTGGAGGCCAGATGTGTATGCTCTACAATTAACCACCTAAACGGACCTCTTTGTTTTCCCTTGACTGTGTGTAGAGGAAAGAAAATGACCAACACCTGTAAGTAACTTTTCCTTTCTCTGCATCGTTACAGAGTTTCTAGAAGAATTTCACGGAGAGGGAAGAGAATGTGTCAATTGTGGCGCTATGTCCACTCCTCTGTGGAGGCGGGATGGCACTGGGCACTACCTGTGTAATGCCTGTGGACTCTACCACAAAATGAATGGCATCAACCGTCCCCTCATCAAGCCACAGAAACGACTGGTAGGAAATCATCAATTTATAACTAACTTCAAAATGCTGTTTTCTGGGTCCCAGGAGCTTATACAGCATTAAAATAAACAGTACTAATGTATGAATTTTTAAAGGGTATATAAGTTACCAATTTCTGGTAGTGTTAACAGCTTCAATGAGGAAAATAAATTTATAACCGTATATTATGCCAGATGGTGTGTATCACAGAGCTCCACAGCAATAAAGCTCACAGTAATGTGCATTCTGTTTGTGTGTATCACAGAGCTCCATGACAATAAAACTCATAGTATGCATTGTATAAATTGTATCAGAGCCCCAATCAAAACATGCAGTAATGTGTATTGTGCACAAATGTATCACAGAGCTCCACAGATATAAAACTCACATTAATGTGCAATGTTTGTAACACAGAGCTCCGCGGCATTAAAAGTCACCTGAGCTCCACAGTGATAAAACTAACAGTAAGCTGCTATATGAGTTCCACAACAATAAAACATACATATGCCACACTACTGTGAGTTTTAATGCTGTGGAGCTCTGTGATACACTCATATTCTGCATATTACTGTGAGTTGTATTCCTGTGGAGCTCTGTGATACATTCATATACTGCATATTACTGTGAGTTTTATTGCCGTGGAGCTCTGTGATACACTCATATACTGCATATTACTGTGAGTTTTATTGCCGTGGAGCTCTGTGATACACTCATATACTGCATATTACTGTGAGTTTTATTGCCGTGGAGCTCTGTGATACAGTCATATACTGCATATTACTGTGAGTTTTATTGCCGTGGAGCTCTGTGATACATTCATATACTGCATATTACTGTGAGTTTTATTGCCGTGGAGCTCTGTGATACACTCATATACTGCATATTACTGTGAGTTTTATTGCCGTGGAGCTCTGTGATACACTCATATACTGCATATTACTGTGAGTTTTATTGCCGTGGAGCTCTGTGATACACTCATATACTGCATATTACTGTGAGTTTTATTGCCGTGGAGCTCTGTGATACACTCATATACTGCATATTACTGTGAGTTTTATTGCTGTGGAGCTCTGTGATACACTCATGTTCTGCATATTACTGTGAGTTTTATTGCCGTGGAGCTCTGTGATACACTCATATACTGCATATTACTGTGAGTTTTATTGCCGTGGAGGTCCTTGATTCATCCATGCACATAGCACATGGCAATTTCATTGCTGTGCTCTACAACGCTCCATAGATATAAAACTCCTGCTTTAAATAAAATGCAATTTATTACTTTGATAAAGTCCTTACAAAGCCACCCAAAATGTCCTGGAATATCTTCACCCCCTTGAGCACATATTGAATCACACCCACTGCTCCTGTCTGAAATATCGTGAGCTATGGCTGAAGATCAAGTTTGACCCTTCCCCATGCACAAGGAATGAAAGTTATACTCTGGCAGTGAGATACAATTGGTGAATATTTGATCCAGTATTACAGTTTGCAAACACTGTAAAAATTGTATTTTCTTATATTTTGACGACTGGATTTTCATTGCACTTTATGTAGGAACAGTAGTTGTGAAAAGAATGTCACTTCCAGTTATTTCTCACAGATCATATGATTTAAACAAATAGATTTAATCCTAAATACCAACACAAAATCCATACAAATTTTTTTTAAGTTAAAGAATTTCTTCAACCCTTTTTTGGTTTTCTTTGAATAATGCCCTATTGGTCCCCAAGTCCCACCCTCCCTAAAAACTAACGAACAAAACGAGAAAAAAAAAACGCACAGTGAAACACTGCAGTACCAGACTCCTACCACCTTGACTTCTTTTTCTAACATTCTTTCTATTGGTATAACAACAAACAGATATTGTGAAACAGGTCGTGTTTAGCCTGGTACAAAGAGCACTAGTACTTATAGTTCTGTTATCGTACATCAGTGTCAAAAGCAGGATACAAAACATCGTTTGGTCAGGCTGTGCACATAATGTAGTGTATTATGTTGCTCATACTTACTGTGACACCTCAGGACGACGCAGAATGTAAGAAAAAAAAATAGCGGGAGGGGTAGTAAGGCAGCAGAGTATTAGCTGTGGGCCATCGTAGCTAATGTCTAAGAGCGGTGTTTGTCAGTGGCAGGTAGCTGTATAGCTCATGTCACTGCGTACCCTTAGACTGGCCCGTTTGGGAATTGGGAAGGGAGACCAGGGGAAAACAACTATTTACAAATGAATGTGGTGTGCATGATGAGGAATATTGAGGATAGTGTGGAGCAGTGCAGTTAAAGTGAGGACAGCAGAATGGTAGAGATAAGTGAGATAAGAGAGGTGATCAGAATTTCCTCTTGGGGGTCCCCGGGGGGAATTAGTAAGGGGGCTGGGGTAGGAGAAGCCCTATGTTTGTGAGTCGTGGACTTGAGGATTGGGGAGGGGGAGTACTGTGTCATCAGGATTTTCGTCAGGTAAATAGCAGACCGCTGGTGATCCAGAGGTCTCAGACCGCTGGTGTCATGAAATTGGGCTGCCAATTTGTCAGTTTCCAGGGTCTCCATGATCTTCCACGTCACAGTGGCAATAGTGAGTGTCTGTTGGTCGGCCCATTTTTCCCTTAGGGCACTACATGCAGCCAGCGCCATCTGTGATGCTAATTTGTTCTAATGTCTAGTCAAGGCGTCTGTTGGTTTAGATCAGACGTTTTGGACTACATCTCCCTGTATCTTTGCCAGCATTATGGCTGTAAGTGCAGAACATCTGGAGGGCCGAAGTTTCTCCATCCCTGGTTTAGATAATAGCAGATCCCATGGGCTAGAGGGTATGGTTTGGTTTCCCCAGTACTACCTATACAAGTCCAGAAACCTTGACTCTTCAGACAACTCCACCAGCAGTGGCCACGACCACTTCTAATAGCAGAAATGGTCATGCTGGTTAGAGCAACCCTTATAAAGAAATATATCAGTTTACCTTAAAATTCTTGTAATAATAGTACGACGATGACTATAAGTACCATCCAAACATTAGATTTTCTGAATACAAGGTGTCTGCATTCAGAGACCTTTTTGGAAAGTTGGTCTTTATCGTCTGATTGCAATATGACACATGAAAAGTAATGTAAAAATTAAAAGAAAGAAGAAACAAAAGAAAAGTAGCTGTAAAAATGGAGGCAGGTAATTATTCCACAATGGGGAAATAAGGAGGTATTTGCATTTTGTTTGCATGTTTGATCACATTAATACTCAGCTTAGTGTGTGTCAGACATGATTCCAGCCCAGCTATTAAGGGCACAGGTGGAGTGTATTTCTGGGCTGTGCCTATGGGCTTTAGCACATCCCTTATGGTAACTGATCCTCTGCTATGCTTGCCGTCCAGTGATTTTTGGTTTTGGCGTAAATCCCAGTACTCCCATTCCCACCACTTAGTGCACTCTGTTCCAGATGGCAAAGCAGTCAGGCTGACTCCTTAAAGGACTTTATATGAATTGAGCAAGGTGCGAGGATGTGAAATGTAAAGGAAGGTTCTGTAAGAGGCCGCGTGCTGCCAATACTGTTCCTTTCTGAAAGGTTTGTGTGTTAAACACTTTGTGCGCCATATTTCCATCAGCTTCCAGAAACACTGGAAAAATGAATCCAGAAATGGTATTACTGCCGCACAGACACCATGTATCACACAGAGAGTATACATGGGATCTCCACCATTCCTTTGTAACAGGATATCATTGGCTGAATGGAGTGTGCAGGTTGATATCAGACACTCTGAGCTCGAAAAGAGCTGTAAATGTAGTCACCTCGAAGGCTTAACTGGCAGTGCAATGAAGCGGTGGGATCCCTGTATCTGCAGTACTAGCGTTGTAGGTATGGCTGCTGACTATTCAGGGAGCATGGCAATGCTGTGATCAAAAAACATCAGAGGGAAGGAATGGGCATTTACTGCCATGTCTAAAACCTTGTTACCCCAAGGGAAATGGACTGGAGGGTGGATTCCAGGCCACTAGTCACACAATATACCAATATATATACTGGGGCCCCTGGGGTTTGTACATCTCTACTGCTCCTCACAAGTGTTCTATCATATGGAATCCTAAAGTGATAGAACTTTAATGACAACATATATGGAGTTACATGTATGTTTTTTCTCTGGTATAATACTAAGCCCTACGGATTTTGTTTGTGCTATATTAATATAATAATAATACGTGGCATTCAGACCGGATGGTAAACATGACGGGATTTTAAATTTTACTCAAGTCAGTTCTGTAATCATTCCCCATCGGCCTCTGAGCATTACAGCAGTCTGTAATCTGTTATTACGAAATATACTTTATGCTGAATAATTCAAGTTATAGTCTCCTTGGTGACAGACCCAGTTTAAGTAAACCTCAGAGAATTAAAATGATTGTAAATAATTTGAGCAGGGATGCAAAGGGGCAAAGTGTGTGTATGTGTTGTATTGCATAGTTTCTGCCCACAGAAAGACACTATTTCTCGAATCATTATGTTACACAATAGCTAGATTAATTAATCACAGAAATCTTACACCAATGGAGTGCATAGTTAGCAGGGACCACACAAATTAGTAATTTCAGCCTGCCTTCTGCAAGATGTCTCCTAAAACCAGGTGAGCACCCTGTGATGGCCACCTAAGCTTTGCTGCTGTCCATTTACATGCCAAAGTCTACTCATCTCATCATGGCTACCACACACATGACCACCCTACTTGGCCACCACACACATGGCCACCCCTGAACTTTACTTCAATGGCTGCAACGACCCCAGATTTCCAGCCTAGACCAAAACCTATGGAGTGTTATCTTCATGCTTTAACCCCTACCTGGTACTAGATATATATACCTAATAGAGATAGTTTACACAAAGTGCAATAATAAGGAATTAAATGACACAGAAATAATTTTTGTACATTATTATTATTTATTTTTTGGAGTGCAGAATAATATACAAGCTTAAAGGAACACTATAGGGTCAGAAACACAAACTTGTATTCCTGACCCTATAATGTTAAAAACACCATCTAGCCCCTCTGACCCCCCTTGCCCTCCCTAAATATAGTAAAATCTAACCTTTACTCTAGTCTTCTGCTACTGGCTCTGCCCCTGATCTGCCTGCTTGGCTGACATCATCAGAAGTCTTGCTCAACATACAGTCTTTCTCTGGAAATCATTGGATTGGCTGAGACTGTCAAGTAGGCAGATCAGGGGCAGAGCCAGCACAAGCCAAACACAGCCCTGGCCATCAGTATCTCCTCATAGAGTTGCATTGAATAAATACATCAAAGTTCTGTGTCTCCTTGCAGAGGGTGGAGACACTGAATGTCAGTCACACTGTGCAGCACTGCCCCAGGAAGCACTTCTAGTATCTGTCTGAGATTTGGCCAGTGAATGTATCCCTAGGCTGTCAGCCAGTGATTGTGAATACACAAAGGCTGATTTTTCCTAGCTCAGTCCCGGAGCCATGTTCAGCCAATGCCTTTTAAAGGTATAGTACAGTCCTGCTTTAAGGAGGCATACTGCAGGGCATTGCACCAAGATGTAGGCAGGTAGATTGTGTCTCCTACCGTGTGTGGGGCTCCACACAGCACCTCAGAATTTGGTTGTGATCCTGCTTTGGGCCGCTTAGGGATATTCCTCTGTGCAGCCTCATGTCTAAGTGGAGTGTGCCGCTTGTTCTGCTGCCACGATGGAGCCTTAACTGGCGACTGGCCCGGCATCCTCTCTGTCCCCCCAGCAGAACCAGGGTGTGACCCTTAAGTATTAAGGCCAAGCAGGGGGCCAGGTCTAGCCAGCACCATCTTGTGGCGATGCACTCGTCACCTTTGACATCAGGCCCGGAACCGGCGTCTTGCGCTAATTTTGCCCAGTAATTTCCAAGGTGAGTATGCTCTCTGCTGGGGTAGTAGCCTTCTGACACTGGTGGAGCTTCTGCCAAAATGCACCAAAGATTCTGTCAAGATGAGAGAACCTGCTCCACACAGAGAACAGTGGGACTCATGGCATTTAGAGAAGGCCAACAAGTAGTGGTGAAACAGCAGGGCCTCCCAGGGCTAAACCGGAATGACCCCCCACCGGTCCAGGGGGAAATGAGGCACTAGAAGAAGACACCACAGGAACTCCGATCACTCCAGATGAGGAGACTCTCCCACTGTATATGTTCACCAGACCGCAGTGCATAGAGCCGAGTATGCCGGTAGGCTGCAAGCTGGACAGCATTAATCTGAGTCCAGGTAATCTGCTCTGGTCAGGGAGCATGTGTGGCACTGTCAACGTCATGCAGAGAGTGATAATGGGTGATTATTTAGGTAAAAATACCCTGCAATATTTGACTCTTGGTGTATTGAGTCATTTTTGTTCCCCCTTTAATAATCCATATTTTCTGATGGCCATAAATGAGAGATAAACCAGAGAATCTAAATAGGCTGCAATATGTTACTGTTCTTTTTTATATAAATAAACTGCTCAGTTCAAAGTTAGAGACAGCGGGTTCTCGCAGACAAGGTCACAGCGTTGCCACGGAGATCTGACTGCCCCTTTTACTTTAAAGTAAACTGAAAGGAAATTAGGAGTAAAATATGGTTCTGCTGCTGTCCTTGACAAGCCCCTGAGCCTTGTGATCGTCCATCACTGGCGCTCAACAAAATTTAGGAGTTAGGGAGGAACATTTACAGAGACAATATTTTTGGAAGAAACTAATGGAGACTCTGCCTGTCTCCATCTCACAGGCTCCCAAAAAATAATTAATTAACCCGTTAGAGGCTGAGGACGCCCAATGTATTCAGCCCTTTTCAGAGTTATTTCTCTATTTTCCACCAATTTGTTTAAACGCACATTTCTAAGCTTTCTGGACACCATTCGGCAACGTTCATTAGCAGACACTTCACACCTACAACAGCTGGTTGTGGCTGATTACACGGATATTAGCCAGTTTGTTTCTAAACTGGATTATATGTTCTACTGAGCCAAGAAATCATTACATCCAGTATAACAGACTGTTCCCGGACATTCACTATGTACAGACCATGATATAGTGGGATTTGGCTAACCCTTCTAATGAAGAGGTTAATAATGCTCAATCATTTCCTGTTCTTGGAGAGAAAAAGAAATCCCTGCAACCAGGCTACAGTCTCTACCCCAGGATCCCCTGCAGCCGGGCTCCAGCCTCTACCCCAGAATCCCCTGCAGCCTGGCTCCAGCCTCTATCCCAGAATCCCCTGCAACCAGGTTACAGCCTCTACCCCAGAATCCCCTGCAGCCTGGCTCCAGCCTCTACCGCAGAATCCCCTGCAGCCTGGCTCCAGTCTCTATCCCAGAATCCCCTGCAGCCAGGCTCCAGTCTCTATCCCAGAATCCCCAGCAACCAGGTTACAGTCTCTATCCCAGAATCCCCAGCAACCAGGTTACAGTCTCTACCCCAGAATCCCCTGCAGCCAGACTCCAGTCTCTACCCCAGAATCCTCTGCAGCCAGGCTCCAGCCTCAGCCCCAGAATCTGCAGCCGGGCTCCAGTCTCTATCCCAGAATCCCCTGCAGCCGGGCTCCAGTCTCTATCCCAGAATCCCCTGCAACCAGGTTACAGCCTATGCCCCAGAATCCCCAGCAACCAGGTTACAGTCTCTATCCCAGAATCTCCAGCAACCAGGTTACAGTCTCTACCCCAGAATCCCCTGCAGTCAGACTCCAGTCTCTACCCCAGAATCCCCTGCAGCCAGGCTCCAGCCTCAACCCCAGAATCCCCTGCAGCCGGGCTCCAGTCTCTATCCCAGAATCCCCTGCAGCCGGGCTCCAGTCTCTATCCCAGAATCCCCTGCAACCAGGTTACAGCCTATACCCCAGAATCCCCTGCAGCCTGGCTCCAGCCTCTACCCCAGAATCCCCTGCAGCCTGGCTCCAGCCTCTACCCCAGAATCCCCTGCAGCCTGGCTCCAGTCTCTATCCCAGAATCCCTGCAGCCTGGCTCCAGATTCTACCCCAGAATCCCCTGCACTGGCTACAGTCTCTACCCCAGAATCCCCTGCAGCCTGGCTCCAGCCTCTACCCCAGAATCCCCTGCAGCCGGGCTCCAGTCTCTATCCCAGAATCCCCTGCAGCCGGGCTCCAGTCTCTATCCCAGAATCCCCTGCAACCAGGTTACAGCCTCTACCCCAGAATCCCCTGCAGCCTGGCTCCAGCCTCTACCCCAGAATCCCCTGCAGCCTGGCTCCAGCCTCTACCCCAGAATCCCCTGCAGCCTGGCTCCAGTCTCTATCCCAGAATCCCCTGCAGCCAGGCTCCAGTCTCTATCCCAGAATCCCCTGCAACCAGGTTACAGTCTTTATCCCAGAATCCCCTGCAGCCAGGCTCCAGTCTCTATCCCAGAATCCCCTTGCATCCAGGCTCCAGTCCAGTCTCTACCCCAGAATCCTCTGCAGCCAGGCTCTGGTCTCTATCCCAGAATCATCTGCAGCCAGGCTCCAGTCTCTATCCCAGAATCTCCTGCAGACAGGCTCCAGTCCTTATCCGGAAATCCTCTACAGCCCGGCTCCAGTCCTTATCCTGGAATCTCCTGTAGCCAGGCTCCAGTCCTTATCCCAGAATCTCCTGCAGCCTGGCTCCAGCCTCTATCCCAGAATCTCCTGCAGCCGGGTTCCAGTCTCTATCCCAGAATCCCCTGCAGCCAGGCTCCAGTCTCTATCCCAGAATCCCCAACAACCAGGTTACAGTCTCTACCCCAGAATCCCCTGCAGCCAGGCTCCAGTCTCTATCCCAGAATCCCTTGCATCCAGGCTCCAGTCTCTACCCCAGAATCCCCTGCAGCCAGGCTCCAGTCTCTATCCCAGAATCATCAGCAGCCAGACTCCAGTCTCTATCCCAGAATCTTCTGCAGACAGGCTCCAGTCCTTATCCGGAAATCCTCTACAGCCCGGCTCCAGTCCTTATCCTGGAATCTTCTGTAGCCAGGCTCCAGTCCCTATTCTTGAATAATCTGTAGCCCAGCTCCAGTTCTTATCCCAGTATCCTCTGCAGCCAGGCTCCAATCCCCATCCCAGAATTGCCTGCTTATTCTATTCTCATAGGAATTAGTGGCATGGGTGAATTCACACACATGATGTGCTGCCAAGGGAAAAAGCAAGAAATTAGATGCCATATAGACATTTTCAGCCATGCTAATATTACCACAGAAAGCTATTAGAGGACAGGGATTGGCTGAGGGGTCTTTGCCATTTCCTGCTTTGATTAGGAATCTGAGGAGAGTCAGAATCTTGGAAAATCGTAAAGAAAAGGAAAGACATGTTTCCTAGAGGGATACATTTCCAACAATAGGGCCTAACACTGAAAAATACCAAAAAGACAGTCCCCAACTACATGTGTAGTTGGGGACTGTCTTTTTGAGAATCTTGGAAAACCCTTTTAAAAGGGGGGACATTCTGGAGTGATTATCGTTTTTTTTTATTAATGTGCAGTAAGTCCAACAAAGAGTGCCTTTATATTAATAAGTTAGAATATTGTGCTTTTGTTTATGTATTTATGTATTTTTCATTCCGTATGACTGATATTCTGAGGTATGATAAGAAACCTCCTCTGTATGCCATTATCCTGTGTATTCCCTTGCTAGTGTAATAATAATTAGCTAACACGTCAGACTTTGTAGACTCTGGAGAACCTCTGTCTGACACAGAGGTTCTTGGGGCTCACCGAGGGGGCCTGCACATACCATTCAACTCACTCAGAACTTGCGGGAAATTGTTTAAATTCTCTGCTCCACTGAAAACCGAAGAACGTGGTTCTTAGAGCCACAGTTTCTGGGAGTTATCACTTGCATGGATTGATTTGCGAATATTGGTTGTGCATGTAGAATGCTTGAAAAGAGAATTTTACAAAATGTGTTACAAAAAATTGCAATACGAAATTATTTTACAGCTGAAAAGTAAAATTCTTAACATTTGTTGACTTAAGAGGTTTTCTAAGAATTCACAGTATGGAAATGGTTGAAGGAGAGAGTAATTGTAGATTATGCTAGCTTTAGTGTACTGATAATCTTAATTTTATTAATGACAGGAGGCGAATATTTTCTTAAGTCTCTCTTTACTAGAACTCCACAGCAGAAAAAAAACACAGAGAGTAAATAACCAATCAAAAACCAGTAAGGAGACCATATAACTCCATTCTCAACATTCCATTTCCTCTTTCTTTTTTTTTTCTTTTTTTTAAATTCTTTATTTTTGTAGTGCTTCGAGTAACAAACATGACTATATCGCCACGACAGCAGATACAAGTCGCTGAGATATCACAAAATAAACAATATCATGGCATTAAATGACAGCACATTTTTAGATTAATCTAGGAATAGTAAATGAACAGTGCATGCGTGATACAGAAACAGTTAACAGTATAGATTGGTTATATGCACTCTATAGGAGTCAAGTATTGTTATCTGCACGTGTGGCTAAGATCTATGTGTAACCAAAGTAGGACCTAGTGGAAGTTTGTATGCTTGAGTGTGAGTGACTAGTTAGGAGCCACCTTTGGTGTTAGCATCTCCTAGAGCTTATTCTACTAGCATTCTATTGGTGGCAGCAGGGTTAAGATGCCGTTCGAGGGGCAGATGTATGTTGCAGAGTATGAAGGTTAGGATGATCTACTTAGTTTAAAAATAGCTATGCCCGTCACCCAGAGATTCGTTATGCTATATACATTCCACATAGGGGGTTGTTTTGAGTTATGTGTAACGCATTAAGTGTGTCGGGTACTACCATGAGTATTCCGCTAGCTGGGGAGGCTGCTTTCGTCCTTCATAAGTAGTGGGGACATCTAGCGGTTAGTAGCGAGACTAGAGCTACAAATTACATGACTAGTGTTTTTAGTGAGTAGGTCTGGGTGTAGGTTGCTATGGATAAATTTTACACCTCACTTCGAGATAGAGTGGGTCTTAGTCTAACGGCCATTGAGGGGAGGCGGGGGTGGGGGGGTGAGGGGAATTGTCCTCATGGGATACTCGGTGCTTAATAGATAGGTACCAGCGAGATAGAAAGTAATGTACAAAAGGAAACAAACAGAGAGAAAAAAAAAAAATATGAAATATATATATATATATATAGTCACAGAAACGGTCACGGCTCGGAACCCCTTTGGTAACAGATATGTGTGAGAGAAGTTCGCCTCAAGTAGTAACCAAAGCGTAGGCTCCCTGTGGGGCTTGTTGCGGGACAAATGGAGTGCTTCTTGCAGGGTCCCACGTGTGTGCCTGTGTGGTTGCCCCTCGAGGCCCAATACTCTGCAGAGCGTCCTTTGGGAGGCCTAGGGTGTCCAGGAGCACAGATGCCTCCTGTATGTCATGGACCGAGTAGAAGGATTCTCTGTGTTGCACTTGGAGCGTACGGGACATCCGCCACCTGTATTGGATGTTGTTGCTCCGTAGGAGAGTGGTAAACCCCTGCAGGGATCTTCTCCACTGCAGAGTGCTCCCAGAGAGGTCGGTGTAAAAGGTTAAGGACATGTCTTCAAATACATATGGGGACTGTCCCTTGAGTGCTTCTTGTACTGTCGCCTTGTCACTGCTTCTTTGGAATTTCACCACTGTATCTCTGGGCGCCTCTTCTGGGGCCCTCCTGGGTTTCGGGATCCGGAATACTCCATCCACTGCAATTTGCCTGACTTGCTTTGGAGACAGCAATGCTCCCAGCAGCCTTCTTATGAGGTGTTGTAACTCTGCTGTTGGTACCTCCTCCGGGATACCTCTTATTTTAAGGTTAGCGCGGCGCCTTGTGTCTTCCACGGTCGCCAGTTTCTGTTCAACCCCAGCTTGTTGCTTTTTCAGCGCTTGTACCTCTTGTTCCAGAGAGCATATTCTCTGATCATGGTCCTTTGTGGAGGCCTCCATCACTCCCAGTCGGCCTACCAGGCCCTTGAGGTCCTGACACAGTGCGGCCACGTCTGCCTGGAGAGTTGTCTGAAGCCCCGCCAGGAGCTCTTGCAGGGTCTCCTTTGTGACAGATTGGCAGGGTAGGTTTCGGGTGTGTGTGTGAGAGGGTTTCTGTGATGGTATGTCTGCCGCTCCGGTGTATTGCGACATCTCTTCGGAGGAGTCGGAGTATTCATACAGCTCCGCGGCCATTTTGGGCCCAAGTGCGCCATGCGCCTGCCTGAAGAGCTCGCCTATATTCATTCCCTGTTTGGGTTTGTCTGACTTCTGCTTCTTAGAATTACGACCCATGGTAGCTCTGGTCGTTCTGGAGCGTTGGGCTTCTTGTTTTTTGGGGTTTTATTCCCAGGATTTCGCCTATTAACGCTGTTTAGCCTGGAGCTCTGAGAGTGTGTGTCTGATCGCTTCGGCTGCTCGGCTCCGCCCCCTCCATTTCCTCTTTCAAGCTGCGATAACAAACACAGTCAGTAAACATAACATAACATAACAAAAACAGCCAGTCTCTGACAGAGATAACGACTCTCATAGACGCATGATTCGCCGGCCTGAAATAAAACTGTCGAAAAGTGTCTTCTCAAGACCAGTCTGCTGAACGTGGAATATCAGAAAGGGAGGCACCTGCTACCAGGGCTCCTGATGCCGCCGCGCCCCTTACCGAATGAGTACCAAATGATGATTCCACGCCAGCCATTCAGTGAAAATTATATTGAACACCACCAAGTCTACAGGTCCCCGCCCTAGGCAGTAATGAAAACATACAGGCATAAATAACCATAAGAAATAATTGACCAAAAATACTCAACATACGAGATAATAAATACAAACAAGGGTCGGGAACAAAAGGGTGGGAAATATTCGCCTCCTGTCATTAATAAAATTAAGATTATAGGTACACTAAAGCTAGCATAATCTACAATTTTATAACATGACAGGAGACTTCATATTTGCTGTTTCAACGCTCAGCCAGTAAGGCAAAAGATGCATGATTCGCCGGCCTGAAATAAAACTGTTGAAAAGTGTCTTCTCAAGACCAGTCTGCTGAACGTGGAATATCAGAAAGGGAGGCACCCGCTACCAAGGCTCCTGATGCCGCCGCGCCCCTTACTGAATGAGTACCAAATGATGATTCCACGCCGGCCAACGACAATAGCCATCTGATCCAACGAGCCAAAGTAATGGTAGACACCGGTTTATGTGGACGTACATAAGATATCAACAGTTGTCCCTATTGGGAACCTCGAAGTGGGGTAGTAACCGTCACATAGCGAGACAGAGTAGAAACCACACAGAGCTTAGGAGCTTCTCGAAAATATTAATAGAAAATAACAGTTGAGTCGGACTTGGTACGTCTCCACACTGAAAAGGTCACCCCCTCTGGGGAAAAGGTGAATGCGTTAACATCAAAAGCCCGGACGTCAAAGACCTGACGAAAAGATACAAGGCACAAAAGAAGTAAAAACTTGGCCGACAACTGTCGTAGGGAAAGCTCCTGATTCTTCGGCCACTCCTGAATGAAATCCAAAACCCGGTGTACATCCCAGAGGGGTGCATATTTAGGTGCTGGCGGACGTGACAGTCTGATGCCTCTCAAGAGTCTACAGACCAAGGCATCTTGTCAGATGGGCATCCCTTGAAGGGGAACGTGAGCCGAGATGGCCGATCTGGCAACATTAACTGAACGATACGACCTCCTTTGATCGAAGAGGTGAGAAAGGAAATTCAGGACGCGGGATACAGGCGGTGTAAAGGGATTGATGCTCCGTTCCATGCAGCAACGACACCATATGTTCCAGGCGGACAGATAACATCTCCTCATTCCTGGGGCCAAGGAGTCCCAGAGGAGGCTTCTAGCTGATCCCGATAGTTCATTGACATTCCAGGTACCCCGGAAAGAGTCCAAGCCACCAATTGGAGGTGGCCTTCCAATACGAGGGGGTGATGGTTGCCTCATGAATCCGAAAGGAGTATTCGCGGGGATGGAAGGATAAGCGGGTACTGACATGACAGCTCCAGTAATTCCGGGAACCAAACCTGGCCTTGCCAAAGAGGTGTCATCAACACCAACGATACCTGTTGACGCCGTAATTGGAATAGGACCCTGGTGGTCATAGTGAATGGTGGAAACGCATAGGCTCCCTTTGACGGCCAGTCCTGAAGGAAGGCATCCACTGCTGCGCACGTCGGATCCGGGAGCCAGCTGAAGTAATTCAAAACCTGGAAGTTCGTTCTGGAAGAGAACAGATCCACCGTGAATGGGCGCCTCTGTCGCGCCATTTCGAGGAAGATCGTCGATGTAGCCGCCAATAGTAGGCATCCCTCCAGTGTCTGGAGAACCAGTCTGCCGTCAGGTTCGACACACCTGGAAGATACTCTGCCTGGAGACTGATATTGCGCTGAAGGCAAAAGTTGTAAATCTCCTTCGTCACTGCCCGTGTGCGGGCCCCTCCCAGGCGGTTAATATACTGTACCGCTGATATATTGTCCATTCTCAGCAGGATGCAGCTATCCGACAGATGACCCGCAAGGCTTTGTATTGCGAATTAACCCGCAATCATTTCTAGGCAGTTAATGTGATATCCTGCTTCCGTGCTTGACCAGGGGCCTCCCGTGGAGGCGGTTGTACAGGTCGCTCCCCAGCCCCATAGGCTCGTATCCGATTCTTGGACAAAGTCCAGAGTTGGGCTGAAAATCGCCTTGTTGTTCCAAGCTGACATGTGTAACAGCCACCAGCGAAGTTCGGTTTTGACTTCCTGCGTGATGGGAACCAGGTGGTCGTATGAGGGTTTCCTGCGTAAGAAGCGTGCTTTCAGGCGCTGCATGGCCCTGTAGTGATGGGGAACTGGGTAGATGGCTTGGATCGATGCGGACAAGAGGCCCACCACTCGTGCCAGGACCTTGAGTGGAATAATTTCTTGGCACAGGATCCGTCGGATCTCTTTTCGAATGGCCGTGATCTTGGCCTGAGGGAGGCATAGGATGCACTGAGTCGCATCTATTTCGAATCACAGGAATTGGACTACCTGCGTTGGTGTAAGGGCCAACTTCTCTCGGTTAACCACAAACCCCAGGGATTCGAACAAGGAGACCGTGTAAAGCGTCTGAGATTTCAGTCTGGAGGCGTCCTCACAGAATAGAAGCAAATTGTCCAGATATATCAGGCATCGAATGCCCCTGGAGCGCAGGCATACCATTACCGGTTTTAACAGTTTGGTGAAACACCATGTTGCCAAGCTGAGGCCGAAGGGTAGGCAGGTGAATTGGCAAGGCCTCCCTTTCCAAACGAAGCGTAGAAAGTATCGGCATCCGGATTCCACTGGAACGGATAGATATGCATCCTTCAGGCCTAGGCGAGTGAACAAATCCCCTGAGCGCAGTAAGTCTCTTAGAAGATGGATGCCCTCCATCTTGAAGTGTTGATAGGAGATGAAAGCGTTCAGGTTCCTCAGGTTTATAACTGGACGGAAATCTCCCGTCTTCTTCTTGACTAGGAAAATGGTGCTGAAGAAACCTCCTTCGTCCGGCGCCCACTGAACTGCCCCTTTGTCGAAAAGGGCCTGTATTTCGACACCAGGACTTGTAGTTCTCTTGGCGATACCGGAATCCGGGGGGGGGTACCTCCTGGACTGGGGGCGAATGGAAATCTATGACGTAATTTCGGACTGTCTGGAGTATCCATGCGTCCGAAGAAATGTCCCGCCACCTGTCGAGACAGTAACGTAACCTGCCGGCATGCAAAAGACTGGGAAGAACATGCGGTGTAATTTGTCTCACCTGTAGGCATTCTGCCTCTTCCATGCGTCCGGCTTCCTCTGCCACGGTCCGACCTCTGGGAGGTGAAGGACCCAGAGCGGTAGCTGAGAAAGAAGGTCGGTGTCCGGGATCCTCGGTGGCTCTTTGGTCAGAAGCAACTGGAGGCATGACCCCGCTGCCTTCCAGCCCTGCCAAAAACATGAGGGGTGTGAGAGCGGAACACCCTCCTCATTGATGATTGGGCCTTGTTCAGAGTAGCATAGAGGTTGACGTGTCTATGGAGCTCCTTGTTAAAGGATTCTCCGAATAGTAGCCCTTTGGCCAACGGTCCCAGCTCTTTGGACCCCAACTATGATAATTTAGCGTCAATGCGCATAAGGTCCGCCTTTCTCCGCTCCGTTCATAGCACCACGTTGGAGTTGCCCAGCAGGCAAATGGAGCGTAACGCCCAATCTCTTATGGCTGCTGGGTCCAGGGGTGAGCCCTGAGTAACAGCTTCGTCCGCCATCGTAAGAATTCGGGCCAGCAGCCCCAACATATCAAGCACCTTATCTTGTGCTAAGCGAAGGCTACGTTCAATCCCTTTCTTGGGATCGTGATCCGTGCAGGTCAGATAGGTGGAGACCATCCGGTCGAATTCAGGTGTCACAGCGACCTTGTCAGGTAGGATGGGCCTGGGGCACTCTGCCCTCAGTCTCTTCCGGACCGCTCAATCTAGGGGTCTGCGAACCCAATAGTGGACAAACTGTGCCAGATGTTCGGGCAGGGACCACTCAGGAGACCTGGGGTGCTGTATGGTGCGTGGGTCGAATAGGGGTTCGACCGTCGAATCCACAAACACGTCCTCCCCTAAGGAGGAGTGCAGGTGCTACGAAGCGGTCTCACCGGATTCTGGTTGGTACGAAAATTCCTCTGAGTCTTGCTTACCCCACCCGCCTTTGTCCTCCGAGGGGGATTGATCCGCCCGCCATTCATCCAGGATGGACATGGGCGGGGGGAGAAAGAATTCTTCTTCCTCTTCGGGGAAGTAACTTGGTGGCGCTGGAGATGAAGCGGTCGTCCGCTTAGGTCGCTTTGCAGGAGCCTTACCCTTCCAGGTACCTGGCTCAGGGCCTTCACCCTTCCAGTAGCGCTTAGGTGAGCGTATCTGGTCTCCGTCCGGTGAGTTGGGGCCAGACTCTATCGGCGTGTGTTGCATCTCCGCCATGTCCCTATCTTGGGACGTTAAGGGTAGTTCCCTCAAGAGTGCTTTCTCTACAGAGACGGCGACAGTGCCCTATTGATAGCCAGCACGGGCAAGTGCCGGCTATCAATAGGGCACTGTCAGGGCAGGCCAGTCAGGGGGCACAGACAGAGCAGGCCGGTATAGTTGGCACAGAGAGAGCAGGCCAGTCATAGGGCACAGACAAAGCAGGCCAGTCAAAGGGGCACAGACATAGCAGGCCAGTCAATGTGGCACAGACAGAGCAGGCCAAGTCACTTATAGGTGTAGTATAACTAGCATAAGGGTCACTGTAGTGTTAAGAATCAGCTGTAGGCTTCTGGTACAGAATATGTAGCCTGTAGAGGTGATGCTCCCAGGAGGGCAAGTGTATAGTGCTTGGCCCTATTGGGGCAGAGGGTCCACTTAATTGTTTATTGTATAATATAAACTTTGAAAATGTAGAGTACAGTTAAATAATGTGGCACCCTGAAAAGGGGGCACCCTCCACTGTCCACCAATGCAAAACATGTGTATAATGATTCCTCTACATAAACAGGTGGGGGAGGAGGCGAGCGTCAGTGCTCCCTCCTCCACCCGGCGGATCGAGCCGGTTGCGGGCGGCGGCCATGTGTAAAGGCTCCAGTTGGCAGGGCAACCGCAAGCCCAGCACCCCGCGACCGGAGCCAAGGACACACACACAAGGGACCGCTGGAAACATACTCCGCAGTCCCGGAGCTCGGGGGGATCGGACGAGGCAGAACAGGCCGGCCTCCTGAAACCCCCGAGCAGCAAACGCACCTGCACAGCAGTGAAAGCGGGTAAGTAAACAGGGAAAGAAACAATAAGAATAATAGGAAAATAATAAGATTAATAATACGAAAAATAATAGGAATAATAATAAGGGGACAGCTAAGGGGGAAGAATCCCAGCGATAGAAAAAACCCAGGGACACAAAAACCTCCCCACAAACCCAGTGCAAGAGAAACAGAGGGTATAAACTAGGCATAAAACAACAAGTCCCCAAATAGTAAAATATGCAAACACAAAGATATAAATAATATACACAGCTACCAACTAATAATAGCAGGAGGCAGTGGTACTCTGACCTGTACTGATGCGGAGCAGCAAAGAAAGAGGAAATGGAATGTTGAGAAGGGAGTTATATGGTCTCCTTACTGGTTTTTGATTGGTTATTTACTCTCTGTGTTTTTTGCTGCTGTGGAGTTCTAGTAAAGAGAGACTTAAGCAAATATGAAGCCTCCTGTCATGTTATAAAATCCACATTGGGCTGGTGCTAGTGATGTAGACATGGGGCAGACAGTGAGCCAGGCACGCAGTCTGCTGGGGCAGAAGATAGAAGTATCAGATGCATGTGTAGAACAGATGCCCACCTCCCGTGTACCCCTCCTCTCTATGGACATACAATATCTTACATACCTCCCAACTGTCACCACACATATTAACCACATCTCTCTGCTTCCCACAGTCTTCCTCTCGGCGAGCCGGGTTGTGCTGCACAAATTGCCACACCAGCACCACTACACTATGGAGACGCAATGCTGAAGGAGAGCCTGTGTGTAATGCCTGCGGCCTGTATATGAAATTACACGGGGTAAGGTCAAACCATGGGGTGTATAATGTAATATCACCTAAGCATTCAAAAGTAGAACAATTTACAAAACAAAAATATACGATTATTTTAGGGGCTGGAGACCATTTTAATCCCCTGTTTTGTGTTTTAATTGCTTAAAATATGTTTTAAAATTGTTTGATTGTGAATGCTCTGTGGTAAGTATGTTTTCCTCTTAATGGTAGCCATAAAGCTAACCTGAGCAGATACATCAATATTACATGATCTGCTTGTTACTACCTGCTAAACACCGTGCCCAGTATGACAGATTTACAAACTGTGTGAGCTTCATCCGGCCAGAGGTTTTAATTAACACATTCATATATGGTGTCCTTGCACTCAGGATAGAAAAGGCATCATGGTGGTTAAAAAGTATCACTTACTTTATTAACATCCAATACAAAAAAAAATCAAAAAACACAAAATAGGGTCAGACAGTAAAATTAAACATATTACCTGAGAAGGGGTTCATTTTATTTTAGGAGGGGAAGAATTAGAGAAAGTAATGTTTTGGGGTTTCTTGTTTCTGGGAGAACATGGGATACTCGAACTGCTGAGTAAGCACCAATGTAACGTAACCTCACCGGCCTGTGCCTGTCCTGCATGTGTCCCGTCCCCGGGTCATAAATTATGCTTATTTTCTTTTTCATTTCTGGCACTATTTTGTTTTTTGTGATTTTATTTGATTTGGATGTTAATAAAGATGATTTTTTTAACTACAGTGGTGCTATTTCCATTTTAAGTGCAAGGACACAGTATGTGATTTTTTTTATAATCTTGGAAGGGGATCCATGGGACAGTGAGTATTGGATACATTTATTTCATTATTCAAAGCATTGCTGGGGGGTGATGGGGGCGGGGGACTCTGCATGTTTGACTCCATAATTGATGCTTCCTTTAATGTGACTATGTTCATCAATACTGATTTTAAAAGTAACTAAGCGCCTATGAATTCTCTATAGGTACCTCGTCCTTTGGCCATGAAGAAAGAAAGTATTCAAACTCGAAAGAGAAAGCCCAAAAATGTCAGCAAAGGAAAGACATCCACAGGTAGTGTAACGCCATAATTATATGCAGTAAATATGTTATGTCACGGAGCACGCTCTGGTGCTTCAGGCATAGTTACATGTTGCTCTGTAATGCAAAAGCTATATGGTGACTGTGTTACAGAGAAGACACAATCTCTGGTTCATGATAAAATGTTCCATCCATTCTAGTTACAATAAAAACACTCTGCTTTATATGTTATGTGCTTCACTTGTATCATCTTCACAGTATACGATGAAGAGTTTGTCATTTACCGTATAGGATGAGAAGAGATGTACGCACTATTAATATCAACAATTTTTTCCCAGGGTCTTCGACTTCAGCCACCAACTCCCCATCCTCCATATCTAACACAGATGGCACACCTGTACTAAAAACAGAGCCAGGGCTGAACCCCCAATTTCCAGGGCAGGTTATGGGGTCCATGTCCCAGGTAGGTGCTTATTTAATTTGATTGGAAACAATCAAAGCCCCCACTTTGTTCTACTATAGTTAACAAATATTTTCACAATTGGTTGCTCTAAATCACTTGTGTGCCCAACCCATTGTGACACTACCCATAAAGCAAGTGCTCATGGTGCGTGGAGTCTGTTTAAAGTGAACACTGCACAAACCAAAATCTGACACTTCTGCTGCCCTAACTCCACCTCCACCTGTACTATTGTGCATTATGAGACAACTCAGAACAAGAGTTCCGGGCTGGCTAATGTCAATTCTGTACAAAATACACATCTGGTGCTAGACATCCAATGGCAGAACCTCCATCCGTGCCTTTTCTGTCGTTTCCTCAGCCCATCCTCTGTGATCTCCCTTAAGCAAGGTGGGATGACATCAGCTTAGGGGGGATAGGGCTTCAGGGAAAACTTGACCTTGATACTGGAACAGAGCTAAGTTTTAGCATGTATTTATTTTTAAAGGGAGTGGTGCAGACCACCTCAGAGGGAGTTATTCTAACCAAAACCAGTGTTTTATGGAATCCTTTAAAAAGTGCAAAACATTTAGAAAGACACCAGACTGAACCATAGCAGAAAACCTTTGCTTTCTGTTATAACGTACTGCTACATTTCAGGTTTCATTATTATAATTTATATAGCACCAACATGTTCTGTAGCGCTTTACAATTATAGAATGGGGATTACAGCAAGCAACAGAAGTACAGAATATTAAGAGAGAGAAGAGGTGAAAAAGCTCTAACAAGCTTGCAATCTATGAGGAAGGGGTAAAGACACACAAGAGAAATAACAGCATGTCAGGATGTGTTTTAATTGACTTCTTAAAGGGCTGGATGCTACAGGAGATCCTGATAGCATGCAAGGTTGGATCCAGAACCAAATCTCTGGAGGGGCATTGGTAGATTATTTAACTGAACATTCCAGGCACAGTAACTACTACAACCTTTGTAGTGGGTATGGTGCTAGGAGTGCCATGACGCCCTCCCAGAATAAGTAGTCAAACCGTTCAACAGTTTTACAACTTACCTCGCATCTGCCGAGATAGGGGCTGTAGTGTGGGTTAGAGGCTGTTAGTGGGGGGGTTAGAAACTGTAGTGGGGGTTAGAGGATGTAATATGGGGAGAAGTGAGTGTTGGGGGCAGTAGTGCAGGTTAAAGAGCATAAAGGTTGTAGTAGGGGTTAGGAGCTGAGGTGGGGGTTAGGAGATGTAGTGTAGGGATGAGGGGCTAAAGAGCTATGGTGGGGAGTATGGGCATGTTTTGGGGTATAAGGGCAGTAGTAGGAGGTTAGGAACTGTAGTAGGGGTTAGGGGCAATAGTGGGGGGTATGAGCTGTATTTGCGGGTTAGAAGCCGTAGTGGTGGGGTAGGGGCAGTAGTGAGGAGTTAGGAGCTGTAGATGGGGTTTTGGTTAGTAGTGAGGAATAGGGGCTGTTATGAGGGGTTAAGAGCTGTAGTCACGGTGTTAAGGGATGTGTCTGGGGGTAGGAGAAGTGTAAGGGGGTTATATACCCTAAATGGTACAGGGAGCCAATGTAATGATTGGCAAAAGGATAAGGGGGTAGGAGTAGTGGTCAGTCAGGAAGATGAGCCTGGCGGCAGCATTCATTACAGAGTGAAGAGGGGCGATGTGGGTATTTAGAAGACTGATGAGTAGTGAGTTGTACTAGTCAAGTCAGAAAATGATTAATTCATGGAGCCTTAGCTGTATCTTGAATTAGAAAAGGGCGAAAGCAGCAATATCTTGGATAAGATGGATATTTTGGGATTTAGAGACACACTGAATGTAAGGGGAAAAGGTAAGACCTGAGTCAAAGGTAACTCCAAGGCAGCGAGCGAAATGAGATGGGATAATAAGTGGTCCATTGATTTACAGAGAGACTATTTGAGGAAGGAAAGATGAGGAGTTTTAGATAGTGGGAAGATATCCAGCTAGAGATGGGAGAGAGTCAGTTTGTGACGTGTTCCAGGAGAGTAGGAGTGAAGCCAAAGGCGGAGAGGTAAATCTCAGTATTGTCAGCATATAGATGGTAATGAAATCCAAGTTAAGTGAGTTTGCTCACTGTTATGATGCCTTGACAACCAATTTACAAGATTCAAACTAAAAAAAACCCACTTAAAATCATGCTCAATCCGATGTTAGTTTTCGTGTTCGTATTAGTTTTAATTCTAATTGTGGGGACTCAGAGATAGAGGGTCACATGTGAAATTATGAAAAAGTTGGATAAAACTTGTTACTCTTGAATCTTACTATTATTCTATTACTCGAGAGGTAAAACACACATACATGCACATTGATAAAGTGTTTTCCCTCCGACTGGTCAAGCTGTGTGTGTGTATATACATATAGATTTTATATTTTATTATTTTCTTTCCCCACGTCCATTACTCTACCCCTACTTTTCAAAACAAGGAATTCCACCAACTAAAACTTGAAGGTATTGCTAGGCCATACATTGGAAAATACTTGTTTAACTCAGAGGAAATATCGATACTTATTGTTTCTAATCTCCTTGCAATTGACTTGAATTATTGTTTGACTTCAGACCTGTCTGTCTTGCTTCATTATACATGCGTCTCATGATGTAATTTACTGAAATTATTTTCTTTCAATAAAAAGAAATTTTAAAAACCCCCACTTAAAAGCCCCTCCTCTGCATGGATTTAATGGGATATTGATTGTCCATTTCTTGGTTTTCAGAGTCAGAGCCATGCAGATGATCTGGTGAGCGGGTCTCACGAGCTGAAGTTTATACATGATGAATACTCCTATAGTCCTGCTGCTCTAAGCCAGCAGTCCGGTCTCAGTGTGCCTCTCCGACAAGACTCGTGGTGTGCACTAGCACTGGCTTAAATCTCAACTGCCACAAGACACAACTGAGATCCTGATGTCTTTCTGCTCCGGTGGGCAGCCACACACAGAGAAGGGACTGCTAATTGTGTGTACAACTGGTGCTTCAATGGGGGTTAGGCACTGCTAGTGCCAGGAAAGACTTTTCATTCTCTGGGGATGGGATAGACCTTGGGTTTGTAAAGATTCTTCATCTCAGGAAAGAGAAGAGGACTTTACTGCAGCAGTTATTGTGCACTTCAAGGTGGTGGGACAGGTAATCAGGAGAGATGTACGAGGCACTATGCTCCACTGGGTAACTATGCTGCAATGACTCAACTGTAAAGGGAAACTTCCCTCATAACCAAAGGGCTTTAAAGACTTCACACAAGCTGAAAAATGTCAGATTAGAAGTCCGGTCTGTGATTGTCACATTCTACCTGGAGCCTTTCATTCATACAGATGGAAAGCGAATCCCAAAAGATACTTTCCTGCCTGAAGTTTAATCCGCACAACAGTTTCCCCAAAGATTATTTCCTGTCTTTTTTAAGTGCAATGTTTCACATAATGTAATACGGCGTGAAATCACATGGAGATTTTATTCTAACGTTAGAAATGTTGTTTTGTCTTTCAATAAAATTTGTTAATTGTTTTCCAGATTTCTGCTAATGGTTGTTAATTTTAAATAAATACTGGTTACTTTTTTCTATTAAAGGAACACTCTGCGCACCATAACCACTACTGTGCCTGAGTGTTCCTTTAAGCCAGGTATTCTGGACTTGGAATTGGGTCTCTGTGCTTAGTGCAGCAGTGCTGCTTTCCTTAGTGTAGTGGGTCCACCTGGAGAACCAATCTTGTTATGTACAGAACAGCCGAGGAATGGCTCACTAGGGCTGTTTTTAAAATTAAGCAATGGTCACTAAGTTAGTGCCACGTTTTTAATTTGTGTCTCTGTCATAAAATGTTAAGAACTAGTGTATTAAGCCATCTGTGTATTACAATACAATGGAGTTAAACGTTATAATTCAGTAGAATATCTGTCACTGTCCAGTATCACTGTATTGCATAGACCAGGTCACATCACACTTCATTTAGAGAAAACTTCTCAAGGCATAGAAACTTTCTTTAAAAGGAACATTCCAAGCACCATAACCACTGCACTGTGCTAAGGTGCCAGGCGCCCCTCAGGGAAGGTAATGAAATTGTCTGCTAATGGTTTGACAAAATACATGAGGTACGCAGGAGAGCTAGTAGCTACCATGGGTTATCTAAGAGCATCAGCAATTCACTCTCAACTAGTGAATAAAGTCCTGCGCCTCCAGGCTGTTAGTAAAATCTCAGTGATAAAGTCAGGCTTAGCTCACTTCCGGCTTTCATAGAGGAGATGACCGGCGCTGGCACATCCCCAGGTAAGACGTTGACCATTTACAAAGTGTGATAGTTCCAGGATACTACAGACACCATAACCCTACTGGTCACTGTACTGCATATGGTGCTTGGAGCGCTCCTTTAATTTCCTTTTCTTTTTAACAGGTTATACGTGGCACATTTTCTTGAATCTTTACTAGAGAGATATCCATACTTCTGGCCAAATTAAGGTATTAGTTTTAATAATTCAACATATTACAGCCCTGAAATCAGTGGGAGAGATTCAACAAAATGTCACTGACTAAAGTCAACCAGACAACGTTATCACAATGACGTGATCTGGGTGCATGGTCCTGTATGGTTAACCCTTTGAGGTAAAACTGCCATTTTGCAGGAATGAAGGGTTAAACACACCTCTAGTGGCTGTCATACTGAATAGATGATGTAAGTTTCTTCAAAACCATATTTTGGCCTTAATCCAAACCCACCAATTATGGTGACTAAAATGGATTGCACTGTATGTAGTACCATTTATATTTTGCAGTGAAATTAGCTCTGTGATCGTAATAAGCAGGTGGTTAGATATTGACACAGAGAGCTTGCAATCTACGTATCCATGTACATGACCCGCAATGCATGGAACATGTTTTGTGCTCCACACTTTCACTCAGCAGATCTTCAAACTACGCGCTGCACTTTTTATTAACTGTGCTGGAAAAAAAAACAAGGCATTCTTTCTCAGCCTTTGTTTGACCTCTGCACCAGAGACATGGCTAGTTCTGTTCTTCAGACAGAAGATAAAATGCACATGGAGAGGTATTTAGAAAGAACCCGAAAAGGATTTAGGTCAGAATTTATATGTGAGCCTTCACTCCCTATAATAAATCAAACTGAATTAAGGTTACAAGTCAACTCAAATTAATGGGGATCCTTTCAGTCAAAAGAAACCTCGCAGGAAAGGCTCCTTAAAGGGACACTATAGTCACCTGAACAACTTTAGCTTAATGAAGCAGTTTTGGTGTATAGAACATGCCCCTGCAGCCTCACTGCTCAATCCTCTGCCATTTAGGAGTTAAATCCCTTTGTTTATGAACCCTAGTCACACCTCCCTGCATGTGACTTGCACAGCCTTCCATAAACACTTCCTGTAAAGAGAGCCCTATTTAGGCTTTCTTTATTGCAAGTTCTGTTTAATTAAGATTTTCTTATCCCCTGCTATGTTAATAGCTTGCTAGACCCTGCAAGAGCCTCCTGTATGTGATTAAAGTTCAATTTAGAGATTGAGATACAATTATTTAAGGTAAATTACATCTGTTTGAAAGTGAAACCATTTTTTTTCATGCAGGCTCTGTCAATCATAACCAGGGGAGGTGTGGCTAGGGCTGTATAAACAGAAACAAAGTGATTTAACTCCTAAATGGCAGTGAATTGAGCAGTGAAGTTGCAGGGGAATGATCTATACACTAAAACTGCTTTATTCAGCTAAAGTAATTTAGGTGACTATAGTGTTCCTTTAAGGTTACTTTCTTTTTCTAGAGAGACAGTCTGTCCCGGTCTATATAGTTACATCCCCTGTATTAGGACTCTATGTTCTATCAGTGTGTATAGAGACAGTCTGTCACGGTCTATATAGTTACATCCCCTGTATTAGGACTCTATGTTCTATCAGTGTGTATAGAGACAGTCTGTCACGGTCTATATAGTCACATCCCCTGTATTAGGACTCTATGTTCTATCAGTGTGTATAGAGACAGTCTGTCACGGTCTATATAGTCACATCCCCTGTATTAGGACCTGATAGAGAGGCAGCACTAGAACTGTATGTGTACTGATTTTGTGTCAGGTAGTGTTTGTGCTACTCTGCACTGCAATCCTGACAGTTTAATTTCTGTACTGCAGCTGCTTTTTATGAAATCAATCGCAGATGCACATAGGTCTCCTTTCCCAGAGAGTTTACAGCCGTACGCCAAGCAGACAGTTTTTATTTCAGTTTCATGAGAGATAGTTCACAAGAAAGGCTTTAATGGGACATGAAAGAGCTGCAGCTTCTGGACTTGTTAGCTGTGAGTTCATAGTTTGTAGTTGCTTTCAAGCCTTCAGGTGCAGGGTATGGTCTGGGGAGGATTATAACCATCAAATTAACAGATCGCAAAATAAACATCACAGCGACCCTCTGCCCTACCAAAAAAGAAAACAAATCGTCAATATGTTTATTTCCTGGCTTTGAGGCCACAAAACCAGTCCCTCCATTCTCAGTCAGATTACAGATCATCCTATCATTCCCTCCATTCTCAGTCAGATTACTGGCCGTCCTTGGTTTCCTCCATTCCGGTCATATTATGCCGAGATTCCCTCCATTCCTGGTCTGATTACCATCTATCCTACGATTTTCAAGGTTCTTGGTCCTACAATCCTCTCCCTTCCTGGTCAGATTAATAGAGATCCTTTGATTCCCTCCATCCCCAGTCAGATTACCAGCCGTTCTACACTTTCCTCAGTCTCCAGTCTGATTACTGGATGTCTTACGATTTCCTCCATTCCCGGCCAGATTAATGGAGATCCTACAATTCCCTCCATTCCCACTCAGAATACCAGCCGTTCTACGATTTCCTCCATTCCCAGTCAGATTAATGGAGATCCTACGATTCCCTCCATTCCTGCTCTGATTATTGGCAATTCTAATATTTCCTTCATTTCTAGTCACATTACTGGCAGCCCAACAATTTCCTCCATTCCCCGCCAGATTACTGGTTATCCTTCGATTTCCTCTGTTCCCGGTCAGATTATTAGCTTGTAAACTGGGTTACTACCGCCTTGGTTGTCCCTTGCCCTTGTGTAGAAGCTCCAGAGTGATTATGCTCTCTTGCAGAGAGTACCGCTGTCTCACCCAAGCACTAGTCGAGACTTTGTGAAGGGTGAAAATGAACTGGTTTTATTAAGGAAAGGCACATAATTATATACCCAGACCCCCAGCATGGGTCTACATTCAATACAACCTAAGCCCGTCCAGGAGCCTCTGTGTCTGGGACAAAATAAGCCCAAAACATACAAGAAATAACAATGCACCCCCACATTTTATATATTCCTGGAAAGGTCTCTCTGGAGCACACATTCTGTCCAAAAAGCATCCAGATCAAATGTGGCTAGCCCAAATTAAGTGGGAGTCCAAGGTTCAGAGGGATGTGACTAGCCTCCGATGCACGCAGATATCCAGACTGCTGGGTAGAGTTCCCGGTCAGCTAAAAACACAGTGCTTTCCTTGGGTACAGATCATTTACACTATCAGTAAATTATTAAAATTAGCTGGAGTTGTAAGAATTTAAAAGTTCTCAGTCAGATTGCCATTCGTTCTACAATTTCCACAGTTTACACTCAGATTACCAGCCATCCTACAATTCCCTCCGCTCCTGGTCAGATTACCAGCCGTGCTACGATTCCCTTTGTTCCTGGTCAGATTACAGGTCATCCCATTATTTCCTCCATTCCTGCTCAGATTTCCAGCTGTGCTATGATTCTCCTTGTTCCTGGTCATATTACTGGGCATCCTACGATTTCCTCTGTTCCTGGTCATCTTACCAGGCATCCTACAATTCCCTCTGTTCCTGGTCATCTTACCAGGCATCCTACAATTCCCTCTGTTCCTGGTCATCTTACCGGGCATCCTACAATTCCCTCTTTTCCTAGTCAGATTACCAGCCGTGCTACGGTTCCCCTTTTTCCTGGTCAGAATACCCAGCATCCTACGATTTCCTCCTTTCCTGCTCAGATTACCGGGCATCCTACAATTCCCTCTGTTCCTAGTCGTATTCCTAGCCACCCTACAGTTTTCTTTGTTCCTTGTTAGGTTACTAACCATCCTACGATTCCCTCCGTTTCCAGTCAGATTACCAGCCATCGCCCGATTTCCTCTGTTCCAGGTCAGAAGAACAGAGGACTTCCTCGATTTTCTTTTCTCTTTTTATTTCAATCTTTATTTTTGTTTTAGTATTTGTAGAGATTAATAACATCAAGAGAGAACAATAGTGTTACAGGGTGAAAGCAAGCATAGAGTATAATGGACTGTAGGGTTACAGGATCCACAGATTATATGGTTATCTTTATGTAGCTTTTCCAGGCTTCACGTTTCCCTCCCCCTACCTCTCCACTGTTAATACAGTAGAGGTTACATATTAAGACCTGTCCTCCCAATCCCCATTTAGTCTTGCGATACCATCCAATTAGATAAACATATATCAAATAAGTTAAACAAGTCTCTGAGAGTGGGGAAGATTGTTAAGAGTGGGAGGGAAGCAGTAGG